GCTTATCCGCCCACTACATGTGTTGTCTGTCAATCAACCATCGCTCGACGACGGGATCAATTCTAACCATCGGTACTCAGTTGTCAATTCACCCACCCCATTTCCCTAAAAATAGACGGGTCAGACTCGGCCTGGGTCCTAACGAGTCCTAGAATCGCCAGGGACGGGATCAGGTCGCCGTTATTGCACCGGTCTTAGCGTCTTTTGTTACATGTAGAGTAGACAGCTTCGACCACGGACGTCGGACCGTTCTACGAATGTACGCACCATCCAGGCCTAAGATGCGTCGAGCTTTATAAGAATGCAGTCTAGATCAATCAACATAACAATGGTGGTATGCAAACGTTAAAATCTCTCCCCGGCTCCCGCAACGTCCAACGCTCCTCCGTTATACGCTCGCTCGATGCGTCCGCCGAGCCGGCTTGCCTCCAATGACGTCATCGGCCGGCCGGCGTCGTTCAAGGTCAAACGGCTGGTGTCCTTACCTGGAGTTCTATAGCCTTGGATTTCAGTTGGCGGCGGCGTGACCACGTGGTGCGTGTGCGGTGTGAGTGATGGCAGGGCTTTTTTGAATTTATGTGGATATTAGTGGCGCCGAACGTTGTTCGCAGTGTACTTCTTCAAGTGATTGTGCGTTAATGACAATGTTTAGCTTTTATTTGTAGCTTGCTCCGTGTTTATTCAAATAACGAGGTGGGCGGTACTCGGTGAAATTTGAAGTCTGGAGTGAGGATGACAACACAGCATTGCACCATGGAAACGAAAGCAAGTGAACTGCGGAATAACATCTGGTTGGAGATAATCGACGGTTAATTATCATTGCTGAAATGCGAGCAACTTCTCACTGTGAATGGACCCGATGTGTTTCGGTGAGTTTTCATTGGATTTCTCCGTAGATATAGAGCCCATATTTTTTGTACTTTATAGTTTGTTGCTGTATACAAGATAGGAATGCCATGCATGTATGCGATATGCCTGTTTGAACCAATAAATGTAAGAATGTGTCGACACCTTTTTTTGGCATCCAATGGACACTCTCGTAACACCTTTAAGGGTGTGTACCAAACTGCACCTCGCTGGGGTGTCAGACGGGTGTCACTTTTGACACCAATACAGGTGTCATTGGGAATCAAACACCGGGTGTCTGACACCCTTTTGGGTGTGCACCCAAAAGGGTGTGAGACACCTAAAAGGGTGTCAGACACCCGGTGTTTCATTCCCAATGACACCTGTATTGGTGTCAAAAGTGACACCCGTCTGACACCCCAGCGAGGTGCAGTTTGGTACACACCCTTAAAGGTGTTCCAGGGGAATAATTTTTTTTTTCTCAGTGTGGGGTACTCAAAATTTGAAGAATTTAAGACGTTTCCATAAGTTTTGAAGGTATGGATAAGTTCTAAAAATCCGGTTCTCCTTATCCGGGTCATTAACTCCATATGGTCCAAGAAAGCTGGCACACTACCTTTAACCCTATTAGTGGCAGGGGGGGGGGGGGTTGTTTTTATCCACCCCTCAGGTTTTTCGGGAATATCTCCGAAACCGCTGAAGCTACGATGCTGAAATTTTCTGACTTTTCCTAAAACTAAATTGGGCACATTCCCTGAAAATTTCAAGTTCATAACTTTACCAGGGGCGGCTCCAGGGCACTGGGAATTGGGGGGTCCTATTCGTGAAGCGAGTCATTTGGGCGAAGATCACGATGCTGCACCAGTTTTACGAACAGTAAATGAAAGGTATCATGTGATAACATATACAAAGTTATTGTGCATCCTCTTTTGACACGTTTTTGCTATAATAGGCGGATCCAGGCGTCCAAAAAGGGGGGTTATTTTTTACCTCCCAACATAGGTACCCTGACACCGCCTATGCATGACCAATACAATTTTAGTCGTTCTCTCATAAGAAAATTGTAACATAACAAGACCATTGCCACCCTTTTTAGAAACAGTGCCAACAAAAACCTTATTTACTATACTTTTTGTGTACCCCCAATCTCAATGATCTGTATCCGCCTATGATTTTTGAAAATGCATATTTTTAGGATCCATGTGAATTCCTGGTTCATTCTCTATCGATCGCAAAAGTTGCGTTAAGATTGATTCAGAAACCTGGCCGTGATAAACAGTCTAAAATGTATTTGCAATTTGCCCTTTTTTACCCCCCTCTACCCCCCTATTGACATTTTTTAATTTTATTTTTTTTAGAAATGTAGATCTCGTTGAGCCAAATCGAATGCCGTTTGAATTTTGAAAATCGGCCCGTTAGATCTCGAGATATCAAGGGGGGGTCGTAAACAGCCCCCCCCCTGCCACTAATATGGGGTAGCCAGGAGCCTGCCACTAATAGGGTTAAATTCATGACCCTAAGTTAACAACAAATTCACAGCTGGCTGATTTATCATCAGCGTTTGCCATTCTTTTAGCAAAATATGCTTTTATTGCTTTTTTACATAAACACGTCATCATATGCTGCATAGTGGACTCGAGCATTCATCAATAAAAGGCCCGCGTTCAATCAATGTCATCCGAGATGTCGCAGAAAGTTTCAGAGGGTCGGGTACTGGTGAAAAATGCCCATGAGAAGTCACTGTGGCATGTAGGCTTTAAACTCCAATGGTATCATTAATTCAAATGATAAAATACGTTACATGACCTGCTGGATTCAAAGAAAATTAAAGGCAGCAGCACCGAGACGACACTGTTCCGACACCGACCCTGTTTAAAATGGAAACATCACATTTTTTGTGTTATTTCCTGCATGTGAAACAATTGCTGGCGTCACATCGAGGCTCTCCCCTAGATAGTTTCGACCGCGCCCGGTCCACCATCAGTCAGCAGAACTGAGCCCCAGAACTGCCCGAACCAGGCCGACACATCGCCTCGTTTGGTGGCCGGGCGCCGCTCGCAGTACAAAAGCAATCTGAACTGGCCCCAAATCAGCCCGAGGCCACGGCCGGAAATGGGAATCGTGCTCCTCATGCGACCAAAACACTCTCCTCTCGAACTGAGAGGAGGGTGGTCTCTGCTCCCCGCCGGCTGCCCCGCTGCCGCAGGACTCAGGAGTGACGCGACACGCTGTCCAACTGCCGAACGGTAGGAACGCTTTTAAGGAATCTCAAAACATGGCGACGCTACGCACTTACTAAAATTTTGTATGTATTTATGTATGTCGCATGTGAAAGGCTGTATGTACATATATGGTTATTTTGCAAAAAAAAAAAGATAAAACTTTTCATTAAAGACAAGCTAGTTATGTATGCAATTAACCACTTGTCTTTTTGAACGTAAATCAACCATTTAATTGCTATGGTCGCAGTGCCGTTCAAACACCTCATACAAAGACTAAAGATCAATTAGCAATAGCAACAAATATATGTTTATCTCACGTTCTAAAATAACAAAAATAATTAATCGATCTTTGAAGCGCAGAGGTAGCGGCGCTGATGATTGCCACTGGTCCCCACCCCGTGCTGCCCCCCCCCCCCCGTAGCACGCGCCGGATGTGCGGTCTCCGCCGGCGGAGCTTCATTTCGGGACCGTCTCTACAATCTGCGCCATCGTCGGGCAGCTCATCTCTGCAGTGATCATTTCGTGCGGCGTCATTTCTTGCCGCGCAGCCCGACGTCGTTTGTGATGGCCTTTGGATGGAGTCCCGGCACAGAGCCGACCGGCTGCCGCCGTCGCGTCCACCGCCCACACTAATCAATCGACAGAGCTAATTCGACGTCATCGCCGTGGCGCTCGTCAAAGGCGGCTCTTTCATTTAACGGCCGGAAACGGCAGACGAATATAGTGGGGGGGGGGGGGGGTGGACAGGAGTAGAGTGAAGCTGATCGACCCTAGCATGTGGGGATAAAGTGATCGGTGCTATTTTAGTGATAAGGGCATTCGGAACCTGCTCTAACTTAAACCTTATTGCCGAGCCCTTCAGACCCAGTGCGTTTGCCATGCTGAATGTTGAATGCTCATCGCCTCACAGACACGCACCAGTCTCAGGTGCGGCGTGCCCCGGCGCGGCGCCCGACCAGCCCCGCCACGTGAGGCCGCCCCATCCATCGCGTCGCGTCCGATAACTCCGCCGCCGCCGAAAGTTGGATGAGGCCGCGCGCGCGCCGGCGACGTGCGGCGGCGCGGGCGGGTGCCGCCGCCGCCACTCTTACCCCATAAACCGACCCGAGTCGAATTTACCGCCGCACCGTCCGGCGAGCGGGCAACAGGGACATAAAACACAGGCCAGCTGGCGAAACGGGCCCATCGCGGAGAGGTATAGAGCGCCGAGTACCGCAGAGCCGCCGAGCACCGCAGAGCAGAGGCATGGAGTGGGGCACATGGAGGCGGGGCAAAGAGCGCGTGGGTAGGTAACACAGAGGAGAGGCGTGTTGGCGGGATGAGAACCTTTTTCGGAGGGAAAGCGCGAAAAAAGGGCCCTGGAATCGAGACGCCGCGAGTTATTACGTGCACAAAATGGTAGCAACTAAATAAGCAGATGGTTAAACGACATGCAATTGATTTCCAACCAACTGGTGTTGAATAGCATGTTTTTTTGTCAGGTAATCGGGCGACTCTATTGACGTTTCGGCAGTTATCTACCGTGCGAGACAAAACACGATCTGAGGCGATAAATCACGCTTCATCGGGTTCACTTTGCAGCCAGACGAGCTGAGGGTAAGGCAAGGACACCGAACGCGAGTTATATTCCAATTTCCTGCGTGGAACGACAGTTCGGGCTCAATATATTCGGCCTTAATGCGGCGTATGGGAGTGATGCGTCAACCGAAAGAATGAAGATGCTATAATTCCGAATATAAAAACTTCTTTTCAGGGAAACATAAAAGAATTGAAGTGTTAACATTACATAAACCAGCACAATGAAATCTTATAGGAGCCGAACTCTTTTCGATCGAGATGAGCCTCCATGTTTCGATAGAAAAAGGCCACAGAAAAAATATTAAAACGGCTGTTGACGGCCTATGCTGGCCGACATATTCCCAGCACACTCACCTGATTCTGCGACCGGTTTGACGCTGAGCTGGCTGTTGCGCATACGCAGCATCTGGAGGACGTCTCCGTTGACGAGGAGGGCGTGCCCGGGGGGCGGCGGCGCCGACTCGGAGACCGACTGGAGGTCCGAGTCGCCGCACTCGGCCGACAGCGAGTCCAGCGAGCGCGTGGTCGCCTCGGCGCTGGAGCCGCTCGGCTCGCTCGGACCGCTCGACTCGCCGAGTCGCGCCGAGTCCGAGTCGTCGTCGGGCGGCGGCGAGTCGAGGTCGGCGCCGTGGCCGACGTCGCCGCCCTCCAGGTGGCTGGGGTCGGAGCTGGACGAGTGCAGCGCCTGGAAGGCGGCCTCCTCGATGAAGCGCGAGATGGAGCTGCTGTTATTGGTAACGGTGCTGTACGACGTGGCGTTGATGATGTTGGCCAGGCTGGCGTTGAGCGCGTTGATGGCGCTGGCCAGGCTGTACTGGCGCACGCCGGGGTCGCTGCGCCGGCGGAGCAGCGGCTCGTCACTGGCCGGCACCGAGAGCAGGCCGTGGTGCATGACACAGTCCAGAGAGCTGCGGCCGAACTTGTGCACGGCCGGCGCCGACTGGCCGAGCAGCAGCTCGACGGCCGGCTCCTCGGCCAGGCTCTCCTCCCCGTCCTTCACCGCGTAACAGCTGCCGCAGGGAGGGACGGAGGTGAGGGGTCCTTCACCGCGTATCAGCTGCAGCGGGGAGACAGGGGTGGATGAGGGGTCCTTCACCGCGTAACAGCTGCCGCAGGGAGAGACGGAGGTGAGGGGAGGTGAGGGGTCCTTCACCGCGTAACAGCTGCCGCAGGGAGAGACGGAGGTGAGGGGAGGTAAGGGGTCCTTCACCGCGTAACAGCTGCCGCAGGGAGACAGGGAGGTGAGGGGTCCTTCACCGCGTAACAGCTGCCGCAGGGAGACAGGGAGGTGAGGGGTCCTTCACCGCGTAACAGCTGCCGCAAGGAGGCGGAGGTGAGGGGAGGGGAGGGGTCCTTTACCGCGTAACAGCTGCCGCAGGGAGGGACGGAGGTGAGGGGTCCTTCACCGCGTAGCAGCTGCCGCAAGGAGGGGGAGGTGAGGGGACCTTCACCGCGTAACAGCTGCCGCAGGGAGAGAGGGAGGTGAGGGGAGGTGAGGGGTCCTTCACCGCGTAACAGCTGCCGCAGGGAGGGACGGAGGTGAAGGGTCCTTCACCGCGTAACAGCTGCCGCAGGGAGAGAGGGAGGTGAGGGGAGGTGAGGGGTCCTTCACCGCGTAACAGCTGCCGCAGGGAGGGACGGAGGTGAGGGGAGGTGAAGGGTCCTTCACCGCGTAACAGCTGCCGCAGGAAGACAGGGAGGTGAGGGATCCTTCACCGCGTAACAGCTGCCGCAGGGAGCAGGGAGGTGAGGGGAGGGGTCCTTTACCGCGTAACAGCTGCCGCAGGGAGGGACGGAGGTGAGGGGTCCTTCACCGCGTAACAGCTGCCGCAGGGAGAGAGGGAGGGGCAGAGTGAGGGACACTGCTGCGGGTGAGGGCAGTTCGGGGCAGATGGACAACCCGGACATTGAGCATCATCACCGTCCAGTGTCTGGGATTTCCTTTCTGTAAGCCTTCCAAATGAAAACTTTATGGCTTTGACGTGGTATTGCAGTTCTTGACCCTAGACACGTCACCACGAACTAGGAATGGAGATAAGACATCGGGTTTTATTCGTGTGTTTTCTGTAATTGAGGGCAGACGAACTTTTAATTTTAAGCCATTCCTTTGAAATTGTTCATTTGCGAGAAACAAACATTCAAGCGACTTCTTTCATCTTTCGCTGATGGTGCATCTAATGAGAAAAGGACAAAGAAAATGTCTTCTGTGAGCATCATATTTGCGACGGTGGGGGGCACAAGCTTGTCGACACAATATGCAGTTTGATCCTATGTCAAAATCTAAAAAATGTAATTACGGAGCGAGCGAAGCGAGCGGAGTCTTTCCTTAGATTAACGGAAATTTCTGAGTATGAGCGGCCTGCCGGCCGGCCGTGCGGACGCTTTTGCGTGGCTTATATCTCAGAAACCACTTGACCGATTTACATGCGGTAATTTTTGTAGGGTAGCTTTATTCCTTCTACCAAGTATTGGACTATTCCCGATGCATGTGGGTAGCCCCTTATGCACGTGCCACGTGCAAAACGAAGAGGTGTCAGTTTTGTAATTGTTGCAATATCTCAGTAACTACTTGGCCGATTGCACTGAAAGTTGGCATGTAGGTAGGCACCCACTAGGCACTGCATATCCATGTGCCAGAGTTGGGGTGCTGCTGCACGTGCGCACGTGCAGGGGTCGTTTCCAGATCTCGAGAACGGCTGGACCGATGGCGCTCACATTTGGTACACGGTTAGGGACCAGTTAGTAGGGTGCCGTGCACAAGTCAGTTGGGACCCATTTTGCACGTGCGCACGTGCAGGGTGCCGCTTCCAGATCTCGAGAACGGCTGGGCCGATTGTGCTCAAATTTGGCACATCGCTAGAGACTGGTTAGTAGGGTGCCGTGCACAAGTCAGTTGGAGGTACCCCCTCGAAATTTCGCACGTGCAAGGCTCACCCTCGCGCTCGTTCCGTTACTCGCCCCAAAAGGCGTTATACTGGTTACGGAGCGAGCGAAGCGAGCGGAGTCTTTCCTTAGATTAACGGAAATTTCTGAGTATGAGCGGCCGGCCGGCCGGCCGGCCGTGCGGACGCTTTTGCGAGGCTTATATCTCAGCAACCACTTTGATTAAGTTCAGCGTTATGAGGAAAATCATAGTTAATACTGTATGAGTCATTTGACCTTATCCTCAATACATTAAGTAAACTGTAATGGCAAAAATACAATACAAAAACGATATATTTCGAGCACTGCTCTTTCTCAATCGGTTCGCAAGCTAGTATAAGTGCAGAACACGTCTCACTTCAAAGTAGCATTTCGTCACGTTTGCCGCTTTCCAGCCCGAAATATCATCTATCGCGTGAAAACTACATAAATTGCCCTCCCATACCAAAGCACAAGATATATTACCCTTCATACCCTACCCGTAGTACAGTTGAACACCGGTATGAATACCCATATCATAAGTCACTATCAAATTTCACGTTCACGTATTCACGCTCAAGTTGTCTGTCACCCTACATAATCACCTCCAACTATGCAAGAATTTGCCACGACACTGTGTTGTAGTTGATTTTGGGCCTATGTTCACGAATTCTAATGGATTCTGTAATTTTCCTGTCTGCTTCATCTCTACAAACATTCATGATACGAGCCGTTAATCTGGTGCCATTAGAATTCGTGAACATAGGCCCAAAATCAACTACAACACAGTGTCGTGGCAAATTCTTGCATAGTTGGAGGTGATTATGTAGGGTGACAGACAACTTGAGCGTGAATACGTGAACGTGAAATTTGATAGTGACTTATGATATGGGTATTCATACCGGTGTTCAACTGTACTACGGGTAGGGTATGAAGGGTAATATATCGTGTGCTTTGGTATGGAAGGGCAATTTATGCAGTTGTCACGCGATAGATGATATTTCGGGCTGGAAAGCGGCAAACGTGACGAAATGCTACTTTGAAGTGAGACGTGTTCTGCACTTATACTAGCTTGCGAAGAATCTGCCCCCCTCCCGTTTTTCGCCAATAACTTCTAAACGCGTTACGCCAGCGACGTCAAACTTTCTGTACCTTATCATACATCAATTTGACACGTTCCCTGAAAATTTGAGCGAAATCTGTCGGACAATTTTTGAGAAAATGACGTTTTAGTGACGTCATGTTCGCAATTTTCGCCTAAAAAATCGCAAAATTTCAAATGCCGCTAACATCTTCATTTTTAAAAGGAATCAAGACGTAACAAAAAAGGTTATACGTGATTCTACTTTGTCTATCAAATGGCTATCTCGATTTTTTGAAAATGTTGGATTTTGGCCCAAAATTTTTCAAAAAAACCGACTTTTTTGGGAAAATAATTATAAAATCCAAAATTTTGAGTGTATTGAAAAAAACGGAATATATGTCAGAGAAGTGGTCTATGTGCACCTACATACCAATTTTGAGAAGAATCGGTTCAAAAATGTGGGAGCTATTCAAAATTTTATGACGTCACGACACATAATTTTTTTAAAAAATGAATTTTTTGGAAGTTCTAGACCTCGTACGGAAACAAAAATAGCACCATTCGACTCGCCGTGAAAAACTGCATCAGATAAACACCTTTTTAGGCCTTAACAACCAACTTCAAAATTTGACCTCACTTGACCTGACCTTGACCTGACCTCGACCTGAGATTCATCCAGAGGTGGTCCATATCACCAATTGAGTGTGCCTATTGAATTCTATGAATAAAATGACCCATAAAACATGTGTCGCACATGCCCTTTTCTATATTTTTTTGGTGACCTGACCTGACCTGACCTGACCTTGACCTTGACCTTTGAATGATATTGTATGCAACGAATATTGTCTTGGTAGCCTAAGAACACGTTTTGAGCAATTAGTCTCAGTCCATTCTTCGGCAATTACGGTGCAAGGCCGATACTGTAGAAACTTGCATTTTGTACCCTTGACCTGACCTTGACCTGACCTCTGACCTACTTAATCAAAAAAAATTGGGCTCTTAAGATTCGCCTCGTTGAGAGCTTTCGATTGCCGTTTTCCCCGTCTTTCTACGACCATCGGTTCAGAAGTTAGACAGGGGCAGGGGGGCAGAATCTGCCCCCCCCCCCCCAGCAGGGCGCGTATGGCTGAATAGCCCAGCGGGGCGCGGTTTAAAGTATTGAGGATAAGGTCAAATGACTCATACAGTATCAGCAACCACTTGACCGATTTACATGCGGTAATTTTTGTATAGTAGCTTCATTCCTTCCACCAAGTTCCTTCTACTAACCGGTCAAGTATTGGACTATTCCCGATGCATGTGGGTGACCCCTTATGCACGTGCCACGTGCAAAACGAAGAGGTGTCAATTTTGTAATCGTTGCAATATATCGGTAACTACTTGGCCGATTGCGCTGAAAGTTGGCATGTAGGTAGGCACCCACTAGGCACTGCATATCCATGTGCCAGAGTTGGGGTGTTGCTGCACGTGCGCATGTGCAGGGGTCGATTCCAGATCTCGAGAACGGCTGGAACGATTGCGCTCAAATTTGGTAGGTACACGGTTAGGCACCAGTTAGTAGGGTGCCGTGCTCAAGTCAGTTGGGACCCATTTTGCGCGTGTGCACGTGCAGGGTGCCGCTTCCAGATCTCGAGAACGGCTGGGCCGATTGTGCTCAAATTTGGCACATCGCTAGAGACCGGTTAGTAGGGTGCCGTGCACAAGTCAGTTGGAGGTACCCCCTTGCAACTTCACACGTGCAAGGCCCACCCTCTCGCTCGCTCCGTTAGTCGCCTCTCAAGGCGTTTTACTGGTTCTTTTAACAGCCCATGTAGGGGTTTAAGTATGCTGTGCCATTTGCAATCATTGCATTTTTCCCATGATGTCGGAAAACAAACACTCAGGTACTACAAAAATGATAGGTACCTAAATCAGTCGGCGATTAAACAATAAAATCAACGTGAGAGATTTAACTTATTACGGCCTTCTCCTGTTTCCGGCGATTTAACCAACTTATTTCAACTTAATATACACCGTAGCTCAATCTGGTTGTGATGCCTTCTTGGTTCACCGAGACACCACACTACATCCCACCATTATCGGTATATGTATGAATTGGCGGCGGTCGGCTTAGGACCCTGTCTGTCGTCAAACGGACACATATCTCGCCGCGGGCGATCCCGAGCCAAATGGCCGCGATAAGTGACCAATAGACGTCAGCGCGCGACGGACGTCGCCGTGGGGGATCGGTCGGTTCGCCTACATCAGCCCCCGACGGAGCCGTCAGAGCGGACCAGTCAGTGGAAACGGCGGACCGAGCCGGCACGCAGCGCTGCAGTGGAGCGAGACAGTGCTGGGGACATTTGAAAGGTAAAAACTGTAACCAATGTAACACTGTACAAGGACCAGGACGTACGTAACATCAAATATGTGCAACTGTAAGCATATCATGAGAAACTTGGAAATCCCAAGTTTCGTTGGTTCCAAAAGGGATATTCGCTTGGGTGAACGGTCATCCATCAAGCCTGCCATTAGTTCACCACATATGCTCGCCTGTTCAGCCTTCTAAGTAATTATCATTGTTTCTGCTGACCTCGGCTCGTCGACGTTTTCGACGATGATGTTCCCCAGCTCCACCTCGAGGCCGTTGGCGACCAGGTAGTTACGCTGGAAGGGCACGAACGGCGACGTCGGCGGCGACGGCAGCTCACCCAGGTTGTCCGTCGACGCGGCAATCGACGGCAGCAGCGTGTGCTGCACCGACGACCGCTTCCTGGGGACGCGCCCATGGGACGGGTCAGAGTGGGTCAGTGGGGCAGGTCGGTTTAGGTTAGGTCGGGTTGGATTCGGTCGGGTTCGATCGGGTCTGAATGGGCCAGGTCGGGTTAGGTCGGGTCTGGTCGGGTTAGGTCGCAGTAGGTCAGATCTTGTCAGGTCTGGTCGGGTCAGGTCGGGTAAGTTTCCGCAGCTGGCGCGTGAAACAAATTTTTCATTATGTGTTGCCGTTAAATGTTCCGACTATTTTGCAAATTCCAACGGCGCGGCAGAAACTCAGCTGCCGAAAAATATCATAGTTCAAAGCTGTACCCAATATTGGAGGTGATTTGTAAATCATGCCTGTAGAAGCTTAGGATACTATAGTTGCTTGAATGCCTAAGCTTATGAGAAGCCGATTGAAGCCGATGCAAATTTGGATTTCTGAAACACTACTGTGAATGGTTTCACATTCACCGAGCAGCATATTCTTAAATTCACTGATGTTAGCTCTCGGACTACAAGGACGGGTGAGCCAGCATACAAGCGTTAGTTTTGTAGAACCAGAGAGCGCTTTATACCTGCTGATATAATAGATGTTGGAAGAAAGCACAATTCAATAAACATGTTCATCGTTTCCGTGCTGATAAAAGACCTCAGGCAAGACATTAGATGTTATAGGATCAACTCCTGGTGGCCGAATGATTTTGCATTATGTCTAGCAACAACGAATCACATTGACAATCACAACATCTATGCGGTATTAAATTCATTTTTAATCATTGGGTTTTATCCAGAATGCGGCATTTACAGAAGTTAGGTCATTCTTTTTAAGGCTACTGATAAATCATTCTCAAAAGGGTTGTGGTTGTGTCCATACAAATGTTTTGTTGTTATAAAGCTTTTGCTAATTTGACGATCATTAATCTGCGAATATGCAACAACTTTATAGCAAAATAGCATTACCAACTGCTCTTATGCGAGTCCATGCAGTCTGCCCTATCTATCTTACTGTTTGTACGACCTCCTATCATAACTACAGCACGTGCCACGTGCACGCGCCGCATATACATACGCACGCCGTAACGCATACGTAGTACGCATGCTCGTAAGCATGCACCCGAGAGAATACGAGCTTTTTCCCCATAGCAGCCTGCTAGCATTTCTGAGTTTAGTGCGCAACAGTGCGCGTCTAGCTGCCCCTCTGACTGCGTGCTAGGTAAGATCAGGCGAATACCTCCTGCCCCAATAGCGATAAGCAGTGTCGTCCGTGATGGGGCGGCGGGGGCCATCCGGCGGCGCGCCGACTGACCTGAGGCTGGGCTCCGGCGCGTCCACATCGTACTCTGTGTAAGAGCAGAGCGATGTTATCTCGGTGCTCTCTGTCATCGAGGGCCCTGCGGACAGCGCTCAGTCAGCAGAGGGGCCGGCGGCGGTGGCCGGCCCGCCGGCCCGACCCGACCGGCGGGCCGGCGGACCGGCACCCCCGGCCCAGTCCTGCCAGCGACTGGCCTGTCTACAGAGCACGTCTAGGTCATGCCTACCGGCTAGTCAACGGCACCGACACACTGGGACAAACGTTATCGAATGCGGGTCATAAACCGCTTTATGTTGTATGGATTTCACGTTTATACTGTATGGAGCATCGACACGCGCAAGGAAAAGAAAGCAAATATTGTAAAACCAGTTCATGTTGCATTATTCAAATTAATGTACGACAGAGTTGCATTTAAATTAATATGCAGGACGTGAAGAATAAGTCATGATGCACCACTACTACAAACTATTTCCCAACATACACCCGAACACAGTAAGTCATAAATCGTTCACTTTGTTACGCCACTTGCAAACTACGTATACTCGTTCGTATGCAGACTGCAGAGGGCAGAAACAGCTCCATGCAAACGATACAACATCCTTAACACGTTCTAAAGCTGACTAGATTTATCATCACTGGATCACATGCGTAGTTGTCTACTGAAGGACAGCTTCCAACAGACGTTGTTCGCTTTCGATACGGTAAATACAGAAAAAAATTCGTACAACGCCCAATGTCCGCCAATAAAAGCGAGAATCCCAGGAAAGAGAACGGTTGATGCAAAATGCAACAAGTGTTTGCAAATGCAACTATTTTTCTATAGCGGAATGGTCTCTCTCTCTCTCTCTCTCTCTCTCTCTCTCTCTCTCTCTCTCTCTCTCTCTCTCTCTCTCTCTCTCTCTCTCTCTCTTTCTCTCATCAAGTGAAGAGAAGGTTGATAAAATGATTGGGGTTCGTTGCTATACCATTACATATAAAGTAATACGTAAGTAACATTCCACCAATATTTAACGGGCAAAGTGGCGGATCCAGGATTTCGTCAAGGGGGGGGGGGGGCATACGGTATTGTGGTTCCCCTGGTATTTGGTGCCACCCCCCTAAAAATTCCACGGATTTCGGCCACTCACTCAGGGTGATGGTGCCCCTAAGACCTCGGGATGGTGCCCCCGAGACCTCGGGATTCGTGCCCCTGAGACCTTGGGATGGTGCCCCAGGATACCTCGGAATGGTGCCCCCGGATACCTCGGAATGGTGCCCCAGGAGACAGACTTCGGGATGGTGCTCCCGGAGACTTCGGGATGGTGCCCCCTCTGCTCTCAGACCTCGGGATGGTGCCCACGGAGAACGCGGGATAGTGCCTCCGGAGAACTCGAGATGGTGCCCCCGCGGACCTCGGGATGGAAATAGCCCCACCCGAGGCGAGGGACAGAAATGAGCCTCCGGGAGAACCGGTAAACGGTACTCTATTCCGATACACCTTCTGGATGGTACCCCTTAGGAGACCTCTGGGTTGAAGCTCCCGTCGGTGACCTCCGTGATGAATTAAAAAAAACTCCGTGATTGTACCCCCCCCCCCCCGGAGGCCCAAGGGGGAGGGCATGGCCCCATGCCCCCCCCCCTGGATCCGCCATTGAACGGACACGACGAATTCCCGAAACTGTCATGCAAGGATATCAATGTCGCAGGCAGGTACGCAAAACACATCTATTTAGGAAAAATAGGTACTGCTCAATTTGCACTACGCAAGAGCAAAAAAAAAAAAAAAAATCAAATAACGATGCCTAACAAATGCTTTTATGAGCTTATACGGTGAAGCACCATGACTGTATTTAAAATTAAATACGCCTTTCTAATGGCAGACGGCTACCCTATGCCTGTACATATTATGTGACTTTAAAATTTTAAGGAACCTTGTTTGTTGACATCCTAGTTCATTTATAATGTGAAGCCTTCAAAATCGCCACAAGAGGAACGACGCCAGTAAACTCACTTTGCATAACGTAAGAGAGCCTTGCTTTCGGGGCACGTCCGCCAACAAATCCGACATTATATCTCGACATCCTCAGAAAGAGCGCGTGACCTGGCCTGACGTGACTGAAAATTTGCAGAAATAATGTCGCTGTCGGGCAGTGAACACATACGGAGCGTCAGAGGTATTATGAGTCTGTTCACGGCGGCACTCCACTGCGGCGCTTTATCGAGCGTGCAGCCGGCAACGGCGCAATTCCCAGTGCGACGAGCGCGGCGCAGTCGGCCGGCCAGCGGCGCGTTTCCGACCCGTCTGTCGCTGACAGGACATGGTCAGCCAGTGGTCCAGCGGAGCCGTCACAGCTCTCCCCGCTGTGACACCCTGCAGGCGGCGGTCCGGGCCTCCCCAATTCATCGGCCACCGCGGCCACCCCCTCCCGGCTCACCCAGCGGCGAGCCAGGGCGGTGTCCGACGAACCGATTGCATCATCAAGTTACATCACCCGCGGCTCCTGTTTTTCTTCAGCATGCGCCACTGGCTTCCTTCTATCGATCTCAAGCGAACTCAGTCTGCAGGCCCAACGATGCCAGCAACACGCAACGCACGTCACCTTCACAAACGTCCAAAGGTCCATATAGGTCACTGCTGCCGTCCTTGTCACGTAGCCTTTATGAAATAAACTGTTTTGTTCGCACCGTTCATCGTCCACCTTCCGCCGCCGACCGCCGTGGGCCCGCTGCCCTGGGGATACTACTAGGCGAGCGGCCACCACCGCCGATAATACAGCGACAGGACGTGAGCAGACGAGCAAATCTCCCGCGGGAGGCCACGCGCCGCGCCGCCCTAAGACGTCGGCGACGCGTGCCAAAATGGAAACCCAGCGCCGAAATGCTAACCTTAAAACAGAGGCTGTTTAGCGGGATCAAAACGACGTTCGCTGAGCCTCCGGCGAGGACTGCGACTCAGTGTGGATCTGGCAATCTAAACAGGAGCTTTCGCACACAGGAAGAAAAACTTTGAGCAAAACAACAGAACCAGGTCTGTGAGAATATCACGTCAACTTTGCCAAGCAGGGCTAGCAGAAAACAGGCCGCAGTTTTACGCGTGGGATTTTATACCGCCATATGAAAGGGAGAAGAGCATTGAACTGACTCGTGCTGTCAGCTGTGACCGAGTGTCGTGCTGCAGGGGAAGAGGGGGGGGGGATCGGCTACCGAGCAGGACACAGCACACGGCACACGGGCAGGCCGTGACCTCCACTCATGCCACCAGACGACAGCGGAGGAAGCGAATCGAGTGTGTTTACGTGGCTTGCCTTCCATGCCCAGACAGGACAGGCGCGGCACGGTGAGTCGCGCTCCGGCCATCCGCTGGTTGAGGTACTCCTGAGCCTCGTCCCCCACCTGACGCATCAGGTGCTGTCGAACAAACGGGGGGGGGGGGGGGGTCAGAGGGCAGCACACTGGGTGTCATACAGCGCAGCGCAAATTCCCAGTTACACGTCGTTAATAATATTGATAACTAGTTGCGTAATCACGAGGAACTTGCACTCGCAGATGCAAGGACTTCAGTCTTTGAACGGGCAAAAAAAAAAAAACATAGGAATGCTCCTCTGTCTTAGTTTTGTTCTATTGGTGTACTATGACAGCCATTATGGAAGTGCATTAAATGAGTTCCAAAAGTTAAAATAAGCACAATAGCCGGTTTATTGCAAAAGGCCGGCAAGCATTACAAACCAATGATTATGTTACCGAAGCTTCATATTTATGACTGGGAATTATCCTCGTCTCATCCAGCAGAACCTAGGAAAACCCAAAGATCTGTCAATTAACTAGTCGGCAAACAGCCATAAATCACAGATGGGTCGTATACCGCACTCTGGGATGACACGCTGGAACACAATGGAGACACAGGCAAACAGACATCGCCAGCGTCCGAGGCAATAATTTACTGGCCCACACTGCCGGTCCGCAGTGACCACGGCATCCACCGCTGGCCGCCCGTCGAAACCGACGATCCTTTGCCGTCGAAGCCGACGATCCTGTGCCGTCGGACCGACCCGCGGCTTTGTTCAAACCTCAGCGATAAGCAAACAGAGCGCCGTTGGGAACTCAAAACTGAGCCGGGTTAACCAAAGAGTCCACACTGTGTGATGACAGTATTGTGTGTTGAGCGTTTCACTGAAGTCATGGACACTAATCCAGTCCATAGTTCAGCCATCTAGGGTGATTTCTGTCCGCTATCGTACAGTGCGATCTGTCATCAGTCTTCTCGATCACATTCTCTCTGACAGAGCCGCAGCCCTTCCCTGTCCCCTCCTCGCCTGCACCTCGGCCGGTATCGTGGACGCAGCTGTCGTGCCCCCCCCCCCCGTCTCCCTCCGACCATCTGACACGCGACGGTGCCATCAACTAACTGCCGGGGGCCGTCTGCGGTCAGACGGCGGCGACAGAATGACGTACGACCGCGCCGGCTCGTCATAACGATCAGCCGGGCGGAAACGATACGGGCTACGACCGACCATCTCGGGTGACACTCGCTTCATTCCATAACAATGCCGTGAGAAGTGGGCCCGACAGCGACGACAGCCGCCGCGCCGCCCCTGGCGTTTATGGGATACACTGCCGCGGCATTCGAATAGCTTACTCGGAAACATTTCGGGACTGCTCTCTGTCAGTTTGAATTCAATTCCGCGACACCACCCAAAGCCGCCACTTACGGTACGTCTCTCGATAGTTGGAGTGGTGTCAAGGTCAATGGTATCGACCGGTGTGGGTCAATGCAGCCAGCGACCCCAATCAGCGCTATCAGATAAACCCTAACTGGCCAGGGCCTGTCTGTGAGCGAGGTATCTGTGCCAGCGCGGACGGCGGATGTCCCGTACAGGCGCTGCCCCGGTACTGCCCCGGTGCTGCCCCGGCACTGTCCCGGCGCTGCCCCGGCACTGCCCCGGCGCTGCCCCGGTCTTCACTCACGTCCACTCGCCACCCCTGCGTTCAGCGCTGCCCTGGAGGTGACTCACGTCCAGCTCCTGCTCGAGGGCGCGCAGTTTGAGCCGCAGCCGGGTGGCCATGTCCTCTGATCGGCGGATGTTCTCCCTGATGCCCAGCGCGGCGGCGTTCACCGTGCACTGGTAGCCCCGCGAGCGGGGCGGCTTCAGCGTGGCGCGCAGCCGGCCCGGCGGCGCGCGCTTCGACTTCTGCAGCTCAATTAACTGCCGGCGGGGCGGGGACACAGGTCAGAGCGGGGGCAGAGAGACAGGGCAGGGAGCAGGGGCACATAGACTAGACACTAGACAGGTCAGGGTGCAGCGCTGCAGAGATAGAGGTCAACAAGGAGCAGCGGCACTGATCAGATCAGGGAGCAGCGGCACAGGTCAGGTGAGAGAGCAGTGAGACAGGTCAGGCTAGGGAATTGTTACACGGGTCAGGTCACGGAGCAAAGAGAGGTCAGGCAGGTAACAGACAGGTCAGGGCAGGGAGTGGCTACACAGGTCAGGCCAGAGAACCTTAGCGAGAATATGCAGAGCAGAGTGGCGATATCACAGAATCGAGGAATGAAGAGCAGTCGCGTTCGAAGGAGCAGTACAGGTTAAGGATCGGGGGAGAGGTCACAGGCTGTGGTTGGATGAAGGAGAGTAAGGTCAGGTGATGAAAGTTCTGACATTTTAAAACATAACTCACATCCTTCACTGTCAAGTGGTTTTCATGTCAGAAAATTTATCTAATTCCTCTTGCCATCAATTTTGTTCGCTGGCCTGAAGCTAATGTGATAGCTGGACCAAGCCATGATTTATTCCATTTTCATGGCAATACGATCACCCGCTAGATTTCCTTTTGAAATCGGCCCTCGCTTATCGCAAAGTTTCACTCTGATGACTAACATGTTCTCAATAGGCTTTTACCCTCATCGTTCAATAATGCTGCACGACCCGTTTTACGTCCCTAGGCTGGGCCTCTAAATCAAGGCGATAGCATGAATTGCTCTCCTTTGTATAACATTTCGAATTTTATATAGATGAAAATGAATACTTTGCTGATATATACCATTTATCCTGTGACAGTTTAACGTCAATCACTACATTTACTAACGAATAGTGTTTGTCTAATTCAAACAACCTGCGGTTAAATAAAGCGTGGAACAAGTGATGGATTCCTGGTTATTTCAAGATATTTTTTTAAGTATCGATAAATAATCAGTAAAACACTCCTTGCTGATTGCCTTCATCTAACAGAGCTGTGGGCATTTAAGCTTCCCAGTGCACATATCTGGTCGGCCAGTATCACGTTTATCAACCAAACCTTAGACTTAGCCCACAGTCGACACTGCAGTGCTCCAATGCCGTAGGTACGAAGACTAAATATGTACAGTGCGTCCGCCAGTCGGTCACCCACCTTAGGTACGAAGACTAGACACAGCGTGCCGGTGGTGCAGAACAAGATGAAGACGGAGATGATGATGAAGGAGGCGTCCTGGTCGTCGGACAGGACGAACGAGATGGCCACGCCGATGACGCACATGATTACCACGTTGTAGACACTCATACCTATGTACTTGGAGTCGTTCAGAGCAGCGATATTCACATGGCGCGTCTCCCACGCCAAAAAACAACCAAATATCTGAAACGAAACACACACGGGACGGCGTGTCAAGAGATTGGCGTTCAGGCATGGATCACAATAACATTTAATGCGCACCTATTAGGTGTCTGACTTTCTCGGACCGGATGCATCAGTCAAAAACAGGTTTGCGCTGTTTGTAGCGCCAGCATTTAGTCTCAGACTCTCAACAGTAAGGCATTCAGCGTTTACACCCTAGCACTGCCGGTCTGAACAGGCCACCACCAGCCGGCCGCCATCCTCCGCTGTCTGGGCCGTCCAATATGTCGCCCGAGTTTCATTAGGCAGGTCAGGCCCGCCGTGGCCCAGACGGGCGTCCAATGTACTCTGGGCCGGCGGGCCGAGCTCATATGCCGCGACTCCTGGGTCCTATTGCTGACTAATTGCAGGCCAACTCCGACGGACGCCGCGGCCGACAGAGTTGGCACATCTAATTACCGCCCACCTGGTAGCCAATATCCAGCCCACCTTTTCTCGGTAGCTACACTATTTTCTCAGCTCCCTGAACTATTTTTTCAGATCCCTGCACTATTTTCCCAGCTCACAACAGTATTTCCAGGTCTTCCTGTGCCCGATAGTCCTCTGTGGCCAATTGTAACAATGAGTGACGGGCTCCAGGTATAAAGGCACGCCCGAGCGGCGAGTGGCGACGAGTGGGGTCAAGGAGCTCACCGGCAGCTCCGGTTTGGAAGAACTCTGTAACCGGGGCGCCTGGTTACGCGCGGCTCGTTGGCAGGTGGTGGTAATTTGGGACTTGTTTCAGAATTGGATGGAAACTGCCGACCATACAGCAATGAGAATTGATGAGGGTAATTATAGTTGAAGGGCGTTTAACAATCAATGGGCCCTTTGCGACCCGATCTGGCAAAGTTTTCCAATTCCGAAGTGTTTGCAAAAGTTACAGCAGGTAGCAGTTCACGAATTGGTTGCAGCTGAGTCGCGGGGAGGCGGCTCTGCCGCCAGAGCGGGGCTGAATGTTCATCAGATAGCGCGGAACAAGCGCAGGACTTTGTAATTGCCACATCTACATATCAGCAGCTTGGAGCGGGGAGCGCAATCTGCAGCTGCGTTGCTTTGCAATTCACAGCTCAGCACTATAAGCATTAGGCAGACCACCGGTTCTATCTCATCAGCGAAAACGGAGGAGGTCGAGTCACTGCAGTGAGGCATATGCGTTGCTGACTGCTGGAATATAACTTTATTGATACACTGTTGTGCAATTCGTTCAGGTTCAAGGGTTACCTATGTACTGCTTCTACATAAGTGTTTTTGAACGCAGGCAGCCTTGGGGAAGAACCATTCAATAATCAATCCTACTGTCAGCTTATTGATATAGTTTGCTATTTTACCATGGAAGCAGCAGTTAACAGAAATTGTTCTCTGAATATAAAGTGACGCACAAACCTTTATCGATTCGTACAGTTGAACAAACACATCCCTCTGCAGATACGGACACCTGCATAGCATACATGTGACATGAAAAGAGCAACGATAAAACGGTACCATATCGCGCCGTATTCACTCTTTTTACAGCCCCCATAAAACATACGTAGCGGAAGTAACAAAGGAAAATAATAACGACCTGTGCATTTTATTACCTCCACGTACACGACAATGCCGCGCCGGCTAACTAATGCTATTCAGCGGCAGCCGCGCCACAGTTCGCCGCGGGCGTGTCGTTTTAGCGGCGCCGCCGGCTGCGTGTGCCAATCCATAGCTGTCCGAACGGAGGACGGGGCGGCGCGCAGCGCTGTAATCGATTTGTAGCTGTCCTGCCGGCGACACTCGGTACTGCCACTAATCACCATCGACCGCCGTTCAAACATGATAAATGACCGTCACGTGACCTCCGGGAACCGTGAGAAGTTTAACGTGCAGGCCACACTGCCAGTTATATTCCCCACATGTTGCACCAGTGTAGCTGCGGCGGGGTAAATACTGGCCTCATGTGGCTCGTTGGACTTTGTCTTACCTTTGTCGTTAGTCGCTGTAATGTCCAGGCTCGCGCCGAGAAAATGGTTGAACAAAAACAGAGAGCCTCCATCCCTCAAAGGTAACGGAGACAAATGCTGAATTTAATATTTTATGTTCCTTAGTTCGGCCTTTCATGCATGTGCGTGGAGTCAACTCTCGTGATCACTGTGCAGGTTTTCGGCTCACTGTGGACGGAAATAATTGCAGGAATGCGTCTTTCTTCTTCCTTTCTTATCTGTCTCTCTCAATGCTTCTGTCTCTGACTTTGTACCTGCTCTGCTCTCTGTCTTCTCTCTCTCTCTCTCTCTCTCTCTCTCTCTCTCTCTCTCTCTCTCTCTCTCTCTCTCTCTCTCCTTCCCTCCCTCCCTCCCTCGCTCCCTCCCTCTCTCTCTCTCTCTCTCTCTCTCTCTCTCTCTCTCTCTCTCCGATGTCTCTGTTCTCTCTGCCCTTGTCATCCTCCCTCTCCCTCTCCCTCTCCCTCTCCCTCTCTCTCTCCCTCTCCCTCTCCCTCAGCTTACATACCGCTCACGCGCCACCTAGCCGGCTCTCGCGCGAGTGACCCGAGAAAATCGTTGGAGCGACAGTTTGCAAATGAGGTCGTCTGCACATACGGGCGTCATCGTTTTTCGGCCGATCAATGGAGGTGTCGCGGCGCGAGAGGCCCTGGTGACCCAGCTCTTCAGGACCGGCCCCCTCCAGAGGGTGACGGACGTGACAGACGGAGGGAGAGGAGACTAAAAACCGCGAGGAGAGACGGGAGACGGAGACAGAGACAGATGTGGGTGTAGGTGGTCCTTCGTAGGCGCTCTGGTCAACAGTATGTAGAATGGTGGAAAATAACTAAGATGAGAAAGAAACCTGCTTCAGATGAAGGCGATGCAATTTGGAGTTCAGAAAACTTTGCGGTGTCGCTTTGTACGATTGTTTCCACGCCAAACCATGCCGATGAGAAATAATCAACTGACATTTTCACAAAACGCTCTGGAGTTTTATCATGGAGAGGCGCACACAAAAACTACTGATTTGATAGTGAGAGGCTATCTTAGCTCGTACCTAAATATAACATCCAAAATAGAGTAATCTTGAAACAGATAGTGATGTAGCTTTTAACCCTCGCCCTGGCAGGGGGGGGGGGTCGATGCGACCCCCCCCCCCTAAGGTTTTTCGAAGAAAATTTGGCACAGCCTATGATGGGGCAGCCTTTTTACATATGACCTGAAAATTTCAGGTCCATGTGACCTTGGGTCAGGTCACCAGGTCAGAAAAACCGGTACAAGGTCATGGTCAAATTTCAATTTTCTTTTTGCACCTGTCCAACTCACAGTTTTGGACTGATTTCCTTCAAACTTTCAGGATGTGCTAAGTTCACCGAGTTGTATAACATATAGTTCGGGTTTTTTGAGGTCACTGACCTGAGGTCAGTTAGAGGTCATTACGTCGTAATGTTAAGCCTATGGGAAAATACTAAATTCGGAAAATACTGGAGATATCCGCTTCGTTCTATCACTTTTGTGCTTTGAAACCACAGTACTTAACAGCAGTCACTTGGTGCTTCTTTGTTTGGTGTACTTATCCATGGGTCAGGTCAAATGAGGTCAACTGAGGTCAAATGACGTTTTTGCCAATAACTTGGCACATAATGACGCTAGAGCTTAAAAAATGGTATCATTGTGTTTCTGGTGATCAACCGAATCGAATGATATGCAATATGATGCAATTTGGTTCACTTGAACTTAATTTATTAATTTAAGTTTGCTTAAAAATTAAGAAAAACTTTAAGTACACTTAAGCAAGCTAAAAAGTATATCATTCGACTCGCCTTGACGTGCTTAGTTCACTGGTGCTTTTCGTTTTGCTCTATCTTAACCCTCGCCGGACCTATTGGTTTTCTACATACGCGCCGGCCGAGGGGGGGGGGGGGCGGGTACGACCCCCCCCTCGCCGTTTCGCCCCTGGTGGAGCTAGCGCGTCGCGGAAAAAACGAGCGTGTGCGCCGTTACGAGACGCAGAGATTGGTACCCGATTTTAAGGTCCTAGGTCAACCGGTGACCTCTGAGGTCAGGTCAAGTGCCCCAAGGTACGGTTCAGTTTTTGGTGAATAACTTCGCAAAAAACGGCCGCAGAGCGCCGATTTTGGCAGCATCGTGTTCACCTCGCTCAGGCGCGTCGAATGATATACGTTTTGTCCGGGTCAGGTCAACTTGGGGTGTTGACCTCAGGTCAAGGTCAGGTCAGCACCCCCAGGTCACGAAGTTGGTCGAAAGAGGTCATGTCGCATATCATTCGATTCGGCAGGCCTTCCTGGGTCCATTGGTGCCTTCCCCGACTCGCTAGCTCAATTTGATCAAGAGTTATTGACGAAAAACTAATTTGACCTTGATGACGTCATAAATGACGTCACGCAAGGTCAACATTGCAAAAGTGACGCATCTAACCTTGCAAGGAGTGCATCAAATCACGATTCTGTGTGCTTGAGATAGCTGGAGATCGTTCCCGGCGCCAGAATAGCAGTTTTCATTTTTCCCCATTGACTTATAATGGTGAGGTCACGAAAATGACCTGACCTCATATGACCTTTAGGAAAAATCCGAGATATACAAGTTGTGGGACTCATAATGGATACTAGATCCTGCAAGTTTCATTTCCCTGTGACATCTCCTCTGGCAGTGAGGGCGTTGCGAAGTTGCGACATCTGAAGACCGTGCAGAGGTTCACTTATGACGTCATAGGTCAGTGACCTGACCTGACCCAAAAATGCGGTTGGTTTCAAAAGATGCGGCTTGGATCAAAGGTCAGGTATGCCAAGTTTCAGCTCTCTATCGCCAGCGTGTTCGGAGCTATGGCGAAAAAACCCTATGGGGGGGCGGCACCCGCCCCCCCCCCCCTCGGCCGGCGAGGGTTAATTAGATCAAAAGTTATAAGCGAAAAACTTTTGACCTGTTTTTAGCGAAATTTTTACATTTATACCCCCCAAAACCCCCCTAAATATTGACCTAGAGCAGCCAAATTTGCACAGGGGCGAGAACTCCAGGGGGCCCACCTACCTACCAAATTTGGTGTTTCTAGGTGCCATAGGAGCCAATCGCGGGGGGGGGGTCGCATCGACCCCCCCCCCTGCCAGGCCGTGTTATGAAAAATGCCCTGCCAGGGCGAAGGTTAAGGAGATTAAAATCACTTTATGTGCTATCGGAGATGAATATATTTGTCTAGAGCGAATATTGAATGCGATAAAAGGCTCCAAATTACTGCAATAAAACAAGATATACTACAGCAATAAATACCATTTTTCCGTAAGAAATACATTGTCAGATGTAGTTTCGCAGAATCAGGTAGAAGAACTGCAATGTGTGCAGAGAACAAAGATGAAAATCACAAAAATACCCTGCAGGGCTCTAAGTATTTGGTACGGGGCGACAGTCGGAAAATCGTGGATCGCTATACGGATCGATGGAAATATGCCAGCCATTGCCACAACAGATACCGAAGCAGCATGTCTAGATGAGGAAAATCACCAAGCGTCTCCCATCTAATCTTAGTGGAGCAAAGGTGGGACTCGAAGGGAAGAAAGGATACATAAGTGGGAGAGATTGGATAAGGGGACGAAGGAAGGTGAGCCGCAAAGGAAAAAAAGTGAGGGAAGTAACATAATCTGATGTGAATAATCTGAGAGAGCATGAAGAGAGAGAGAGTGAAGAAGAGGAGGCAGACTCGGTCGGAGCGAGTCCCGTCGCTGCCGAGACCGTCGATAATCCTCGGACCGCGGCTGGCTGATTGGTTATTGTGTCCGCCGCTCAGGAGCGCCGTGGGCGCCGGCGGCGGCCTGGGACAATCCCCCTGTCGCCGGCGGGCGGATGTCGGAGACCGGCGCACCGTTAGCCGGGCAGCCGACGTCTCCAGGTCAGCCCCGCGGCAGGTGATCGCCCTCCGGTGCAGCTGCTGCCCAGACAAGAGCGGCTTCTGCCTGACCCGAGGCCGAACAGCACTCGACTTTTTGCACCAATGTCCGATGTCCTTACGTAACTTATAGGCAGGTAAGACCGACAGATCAATGTGAGACGATCATAACACGCGCACAGACGGGGGGCGGATATCCGCCCCCCCCCCCTGAGGTTTTTCGCGAATAGCGGAAAAAAACACGCGTAGCGCCGCGAAATTTTGTACGACTATTCTCTCATCAATTTTACACATGGTATGCAAGTTTGAACCTCCTAACTTTCAAGGTCAGGTCACCAGGTCACTTTGAATGACCCAACCTCAAGTCACTTTTTTGCAACTTTGTCACCGTGCCAGAGCTACAGTAGATGTCGGAGGCCTTTGAAAGTCGCAGGATGTTATAAGGTCATTAGTAGCTACAATTTGCATATCTCGGAATTTTGATGTCGGTGACCTAAGGTCAGGTCAATTTCGCGACCTCCCCATTATAAGTCAATGGGGGAAAATGAACTCCCTGTTTTTACCAATAAAACGGGTCAGAATGGCCCCATATACCATTCATGACTTCATATACGATCAACCTTCACTACTTTGAGGTCTGTTTTGCTGTTGGGCAGCTGTGAGGTCATGTGACGTCATCAAAGGTCACCAAAGGTTTTTTGCCAATAACTCCGTACAGAAACAAGATACAGCCGCGCGGATGGTCTCATTGTGTTCAGCTCGTTAAGACGCATCGAATGATATACATGATGACCTCGAGGTCACGTGACATGAGGTCAACCTTTGACCTTGTTCTTTCGAGGTCAACATATATATCATTCGATGCGGATTGACGAGAGGATCACGATGATGCCCTTAGTTTGTTCCTATCTTGACTAATTCGAAAGTTATTCGAGAAAAGCGTTCTCCAAATATAGCGCCGCCATTTTGACTTTTTTGACCCCTGTGACGTCATCTTTGACCTGACCTGAGAATGACCTCAGTAAAAATTATAGACCTAGTCCGTGCGTATCCGATGCCGTTTACCGCTTGTCGCTATCTTGCTTCGTTCTCGAGATCTCAGGGGGGCGGTCATCCGCCCCCCCCCGTCGGTACGAAGTTGGCGCAGACCCCCGTCGGTGCGCGGGCTAAGATAATTAGATAGATAGATAGATAGATAGATAGATAGATAGATAGATAGATAGATAGATAGATAGATAGATAGATAGATAGATAGATAGATAGATAGATAGATAGATAGATAGATAGATAGATAGATAGATAGATAGATAGATAGATAGATAGATAGATAGATAGATAGATAGATAGATAGATAGATAGATAGATAGATAGATAGATAGATAGATAGATAGATAGATAGATAGATAGATAGATAGATAGATAGATAGATAGATAGATAGATAGATAGATAGATAGATAGATAGATAGATAGATAGATAGATAGATAGATAGATAGATAGATAGATAGATAGATAGATAGATAGATAGATAGATAGATAGATAGATAGATAGATAGATAGATAGATAGATAGATAAATAGATAGATAGATAGATAGATAGATAGATAGATAGATAGATATAGATAGATAGATAGATAGATAGATAGATAGATAGAGAGAGAGAGAGAGAGGGAGTGAGGAGAGAGAGTGGTGGAGGAGAGAGAGAGATAGAGGGAGAGGGAGAGGGAGAGAGAGAGAGAGAGAGAGAGAGAGAGAGAGAGAGAGAGAGAGAGAGAGAGAGAGAGAGAGAGAGAGAGAGAGAGAGAGAGAGAAAGAGAGAGAAAGAGAGAGAGAGAAAGAGAGAGATAGGTTGTGAGTTTTTACGGAGCGAGCGAAGCGAGCGTAGTCTTTCCTTAGATTAACGGAAATTTCTGAGTATGAGCGGCCGGCCGGCCGGCCGTGGTCACGCTTTTGCGAGGCTTATATCTCAGCAACCACTTGACCGATTTACACGCGGTAATTTTTGTAGGGTAGCTTCATTCCTTCTACCAAGTATTGGACTATTCCTGATGCATGTGGGTGACCCCTTATGCACGTGCCACGTGCAAAACGAAGAGGTGTCCGTTTTGTAATTGTTGCAATATCTCGGTAACTACTTGGCCGATTGCGCTGAAGTTGGCATGTAGGTAGGCACCCACTACGCACTGCATCTCCATGTGCCAGAGTTGGGGTGCTGCTGCACGTGCGCGCGTGCAGGGGTCGTTTCCAGATCTCGAGAACGGCTGGACCGATTGCGCTCAAATTTGGTACACAGTTAGGGACCAGTTAGTAGGGTGCCGTGCACAAGTCAGTTGGGACCCATTTTGCACGTGCGCACGTGCAGGGTGCCGCTTCCAGATCTCGAGAACGGCTGGGCCGATTGTGCTCAAATTTGGCACATCGCTAGAGACCGGTTAGTAGGGTGCCGTGCACAAGTCAGTTGGAGGTACCCCCTCGCAATTTCGCACGTGCAAGGCCCACCCTCTCGCTCGCTCCGTTAGTCGCCCCAAAAGGCGTTATACTGGTGTTACCTTTTAAAATGGATGTAGGCCCGCCATTTCGGTTAATTTATGCCGGAAATGTCAGGTATTCCTGACAGATAAAAGAGTCGTCTGACAGTGGCTGGCAGTCACGCCATCTTTGGAAGAATATGCCGTGCTGAGAACCTCGAGATGTTGCGGCTCCATTAACCGCCACCACACGGCGGAAGGTGGAAATGAAATAATATTTATTTCATAAAACGGTTGCCAACAACAAACTAAAAAAGGAAATATTAGCTGATGATATACTGGCTAGCAGATAGCCGAGGGTACTCACCATTAGTAACCCTTTATAAGCGTATATGCAGCCGACAAAGACAGTCATCTTGTGCGACTTGCAGTACTCGTTCTCTGGTATGATAATGGCGTCGTCGTTCTGAGGGTGAGGCTGAAAAGGCAGGCGGCGCTGTCAGGCTGTGACGATGATTATCACTTACCTCTGGCAAGATAACACAGCCAGAGTGAAACAGAAGAGAGAAAGAAAGAGAGAAAGAGAGGGAGAGAGAGAGGAGAGGGAGGGGAGAGAGCATGGTGATCAAATGGAAAATTCTCAGAATGTGGATAAGACAGACATATAATAAATAAGCATACATAAATCTACATGGAAAGAAGAAAACCCGCTAACACATCAGCACCATCAATAAAGTAAGAGGGACCGAAAAAAAAAACACATCCAATCAACGTCATTGGTCCGTACTTGTCCCCGTGCGCCGGTCTAATGAATAGGTGTCCTGCCTTTGTGATAAGGCCGGACGACCAGCGGCCGGCGGCCGTCTGTCGTCAGGTATGGGCACGTGTGGCTCATTCAGGTACGCCGGCACGCGGCAGCTCGATAGTCTGTTGCCAGGCGACAGAGCTGCTTCCGCGCGGCTGCGGCGGCCGCGCGGCTGGCCTGTGTCACCAGCTGAGGTCACCGGTCAGAACTAACTGACCAGCTGATGTGGCGAGAGCGTGCCGCTGGTCGCTGTCCGGCCGGAGTTGCTGGGCTGTGACTGGGGTCACATAGGGTTCTGCTCAGGATACGCTGGGGTGTCGCTATGGGTGCCGCTGGCGAGGGGAGGGAGGGGTCGGCTAGCAACGCCGCTGACGGTTTTGGAAGTTTTATTACTGTGTGCTGGATCGGACAGTTCTCAGTAGACCGAAAAAGAACTCTTCGATTCCCGCAGGGTTCACTGGCTCGCTGTGACCGGACAAATGTCTGCTCAGACCGGACAAGGCTCGCTCAGATCGGACAAAGTTCGCCCAGGCTGGAAAGTTACGATTGACAAGGCTCATTTGGACAGATGAATTTCTGGCTCGCTAGGATTGGACACAGCTCTCTCAGACCGGACAGGACAGGACTCTGTCAGACCGGATAGTTCTCTGTGGCCCTCTCAGACCACCGGACAGAGCTCTCTAAGACCACCGGACAGGGCTCTCTTGCACCGAGCCACGCTCGCCCTGGGGCGTCTGGCGCCGTCGTTCCCGTCGTCTGATGAGCCGGAGACGGGCCGCGTCGGCTCCGACGGTGCCGATGATGACAGCGGCTGTGGGCGTCCGGCTTTGTCGGAGGGCCACGCAGCCCGCCCGAAATCGGCCAATGACTCCGTCCCGATGGACGGAGGAGCTTCAGTAGGTGAAAGGGAGCCGGACTACTCTCTAGGCGCGAACCGCCGCGAGAGGCACAACGGCCGGAGGGCACGACTGGCGGTCCCTCAAACAGACGTAGGGACTGTGACTGTGGGGGAGGGCCGTAGGAGCAGGTATGTGGGTACTGGGCTGTGGGAAATGTGAGTACTGTAGGAACTCACGAGACTGATTGGGTGCGGGAATTCGAAACTCCGCGGTAGCTCTAAGTCTAGCGAATTCATTTGCTGTTAAAATACGGTTAGTGTAAACCGAAAAGACGAAGTCTGTGTGATTTAAAAAGAAAAAAGCACATCGAAACCATCACAGAGCGATCCGCTATACTCACATATTGTCCGAGTTGCTTGGTCTCTCGGTAGAACGGATCAACGATCTGCCAGGTGGTCATAATGGCAATGTCGATAGAGAGCAGAACTCCGACCACAATGTACAGCTGGTAGTCCTTGATGACCTGGGCACGGAGGGCAATCGGCTGTTATTCGCCCGGCTGACAGGAGACATATTGGTTTGAACGGCTGGTTCCGGGTTTTGTTACACAATGCGAGTCGGAACCCGAGCCGACAGCGCGAACTGCATGCACCTCTACTTATGACCCTTGGCAGGCATGCCAACAAGGCGCAAAAGCAATTTACGACATGCCTGAGGGGCGTATGGCTCATTCGGGTCCGCCGAGTTGTCGATAAAATCAGCCCTGACCGGTCAGTAGGGCGATTGGTTATTGGCGTAAGGCGCTACCTTCATAAGGTAGACTGCTGGCAAGATGCACCGTGACAGTCGCATAATGGCTGCCACTGAAACTGGCTTCCAAGTGAACAAAAATGCCGGCAAACAATGCGTTCCGAATATGAGATATAGAATATAGATCTTAGCGACAATTGATAAAGCTATACCAACAGAATGATATTTATCATTGATGCAAATTACATTGTTTTTCAATCATTGTATTTTTTATAGCGCCAAACATGGGGCCAATGTCTTTTCCATTTGGATTGCCATGTATGGCGCGGCATTCAGTTCTAATGATGACCACAATAATTGCCACAACTGTACGCCCGGGACACGCCGGTCCGAGCGCCACACGCAATCAATATAGTCGTCTGCTGCTGGGCGGCTTAGTAGCTATGCCGAGCGCATCGGGTTCCGATTCATCACATATATTGATGGGGGACGGGGTGGGCTGCGCTGTCAGCTCCAGACACAGAGACACGGGAACAGAGACATACACAAACACAGACGCGCAGACACACAGACGCGCAGAAACGCAGAAATGCATAAACAAGCTCAGATATGGAGAGTTAAGTCACAGATGCTTAGACACACAGAAACGCAGACACGGAGAAACATAGAAACATACCATTAGACATGTCATCAGTATATTCGGACACACGTAGCACGATTACAAAGACGTGGCGACAAAAAAGGATTTTTTTTTGTTGACACATGTATCTACTTGGTCTATAGAAATGACCACCAGTCCCTGTGGACAACTGATTATAACTATTCATGGTAATAACGTGTCTGAAGACAGGTAATAGAAACAAGCGCAAATGAATCCGCTGTTTTGTAACATAAGGAAGCGATTTTTCCGTCTTTTTAATGATTTTTTTTCTTGCGTCCGGGAGCTGAAAATCTTGGATAAAAAAAAACGTTTACAGCTGTTCGTCCCTGATCTCCGACAGTGTGCCCGGAAAAGAAATAATATATCACATAATTATGCAGCCACCAGCCGCTGTCAGCCGGGAGAACTTTACAAAAGGTCTGCCGGCAGACAATGGGCGGCCTGCCTGGCGCCGTACGGTGCAGGACGACCATAACAAGTCCGCTGCTACGCCAGACGGTCCGCGGCCGGCAGACGCGCTCCCTTTGTCCGCTCACCTTTTTGTTCAGCTTGACGTCCGTGAAAATGGAGTGGACCCGCCACGTCTTGGAGAACATGGAGCCGAATGCCAGGGTGAAGCCGGCCATGAGCACCCAGGTCTTGGCGGCGCACACGACGGGGAAGGACTCCTCAGAGGTGAGGCTCGAGTCGAGACCCAGCAGGATCACAGACGTGTACGTCAGGATGCAGCCGATGATTATCAGGTTGTTGAGGTACGGAGACGACATCTTGATGTACCTGTCGAAGGAAGACAGATCTGGTTAGAAAACTCATTGGTAGAAATCAATGAGCAATGTGCTAGAAAACAACATGATGAAGACCAAACAAGCACCGTGTCACATATTTACGAAGACTGGAGGGCTCTGATTTTTTTTCGTTCATCTTCAGTGAAAGAAGGGCCCATGGAAGCTGTTCGCGTGAGTCACGTGTCATGCCCATGACAACCTTCAAGGGTTGACTGACGGCTGCGTGCCTCTCAAATTACTACGTCGTTGATGCGTTAAATTGTTCATCTGCGTCCACTCAATACGCTTCGCGAACGTTCATCAGCCGAATAATTTTACTTACTAACTTACTACATATATCCGAAGTAGGCGCCTCTGCTTTATAAACTGTCTCACACTACCTCCCATAACATGCTGTAGACGTTATTTGTGACAAGGGGATAAAAGTCAGGCTTGGGTTTACTAGCAGAATCCTGGCTTCATCGAGCACAATATTGGATTGAAATAATGCAATAAAATGAAGTAGCAAAGAGCCACGGAAGCAATAAAACGCTGTAACAATGAAGCTACCGGGAAATTAATATCGATCAGTTAGATATACCATACAAGGATAGGAAAATACATTGGCAAGTGGTTTTCAGTATAGTCGAGGATGAGTTGATATCTTGTTCCTCATATCAGTCCCTCACAGTGTCCCTGACAGCTCTGACCACCGTCCAGCAGTCAGTCGAGCCGGTGGCTCAGCTGAGCCCGTATAATGCACAGCTTTGTCCAGTCGGTAGCTGAGTGATGGAGGTCCGCCGCCGCCGCCCACCCCGCCGCGCCGGCCAGCAGCCAAACACGGCGGTATTTTCCACTATGCCCGACTGTCCAGCAGAGGAGACCACCACGCCGGCCCGTCCGCAACGAATGGCGTACGTCGGAGCCGGACCCGCTCCCAAAATTGATGCGATCTCTTCAGACGAACGAAATTGCTCTCCTGAAGTTCCGCCTTTGCAAAGAGCGACTCGATGGTTGAGCCAGACATCGTGTTATATTTTATGTAGGCGTTCTGGTTAGGTGGCTGCATGGGTTATGCGCATCCACATCGACAAAATCAATAGGACGGATGAACGAAACAGCCAATAGCGATGCAAAATATCCCCAAAGAGAGGCCGTCTCCATAAACTTTACCACGCGTATTTTGACTGGCATTGCGCTCGATTGAACGGTCGTTTGAAGACTTCTTGCGCGGCTGTCTTCGTGTCTGGCAGGCAATATTTCCATTGGGCCGGGCCAGTCTGTCATTCCAGGATTGTTCGTCATGCGCTCGGCAATAGTCTGTAAATTTATGACTCGCGGAGTTCTCTCCAGACCGTCTCTCAACTTCCTCACGCACTCAGTGTACCCCGTGCCCGTCTCGTGAGATCCCGCGCCGTCTCGTTCCCTTCGTTCCAGGCCGTTCGTCCCGTTCGTGCTGTCTCGAATCTTCGCATTGCACTTCACTGCAATGGGAAGCGGCTCCCACTGACAGCGGTGCCCCCCCCCCCCTTCACGACACACACGGGCCGGCTCCAAACCCCACCCGACCTCAGCCCGCTCCCGGTCCGCCCCCTGAGGCCAATGAGCCGCAGCCGACCGTCACCGGTCCGCCGGCCGTCTGAGCCGCGCTGAAGGCTCGTCTTCCCCGCCGAGGTGGCGGACCGTCGCCGCCGCCACGACCGACGATCCGCCGCACGGTGGGCCGCCACCGATTACCGCGGATCGGCAGCGCCCGCGGCGGCAGCGTAAGATGGATGTGCGACATGTTTTTGCATTCCGACGACGCGGAAAATACCGCAGGCTCACCAGCGGTGTTGTTGAACAGGAGTTGGGCTTGAGCTGCTCAGCAATAACCAAAAAACTTGGCTACTTAAACCGGTAAGGTCAGAAGTTTTTCACATGCAAGTTGTTAGGGTGTGTGCCGTGTGGTAGCTCTTGTGCCCACATATCATATTCATAATGCACAATGAATCTTGCTATGGGTATTGGGTAGGTAGGTTTGAAATCAGCATAAGCCCTCGTTTTCATGTTTTCCGAAATCCACATTTTTTCTTGTTCATAATACATAAGATGAAATACTTTTAATGCGAAAGTTACTCATCCAATTATACAGCAAACAGTTTTCTGTTTCATCTCTTTGCTATAAAATGTCTCGTTAGCATATGTAAATATAGTATTCTCGCTTGTCACACATGTTTTCAATCATTTATTGACGATTGGTGACTGAGTTGTGGTCAGCCGCTGCGCTGAATTTGCAGCTATTACCAGCCGCGTCCCTGTATGCCGCGCGAGACAGAGATCGTGTTTACCTGGAAGGTAGGCTGTGCCGCACAGCTCGCGTGCTCGGCGGGACAACATACCTCCCAGCGTGATCCCACACTACGACCGCCACACTCCGCAGCAAGCTGAATGGCGTTGTAATCCATCCATCGATATTGTCACCTGTCCGTGCTTCTATCCTCAGGATACTGAAATCCTTCTCCTCCACGCCACAACCCCCTTCCGGGCTGGACAGGCAACTTTATCTCATGCGGGCTGCTCCCTTGGAGCGGCACCGCTGCTCCCGAGGGAGCGCACCCCGTAGCCGGGTGCAGTGAGTGCCTTGGGGCTGGGTGGCCTGTCCTCTGGACGGGCTCAGCCCCGGCGACTCACTAGGGTGCCTGCCCAGACCAATGTCTCCCCCTAAATCCTATCATCCTTCCGGCTCTGCAATGGTCTTGTCGACCGAAAGGGCCTAACCCAACAAAACAAACAAACAAAAAAACAAACAAACAATCGATATTGTAATATTCAAGACGAAAATGGTTAATTCATATTTAAAATGAATGAAGTTATAGCTTGTAGCATGCAATGTTCAGCCAGCATCAAACAGCGAGGCAGCGCATGCTGGTAGGTAAGTCTTCCTTGCTCCATAAAATTGAACAAATGGAGCATTTGAAGTTGCGGCGCTTTGTGAGGGAAATTGTCAAAGTGTACCGGACTTTATTATGTTCCGCGTTTATGAGCTGTGCCTCTCAGCAAATTTAACGACCCATAAATTTGAGCGTGGGTAGCTACGGATAGCGTACAGGTGGCAAATGTTGTCTTCTGTTGAAACGCGGCTCGGAAAAACAGAATTTAGTAAGTAGGTACTAGCCCTCGCCGGCCGAGGGGGGGCGGGTGCCGCCCCCCCATAGGGTTTTTTCGCGATAGCTCCGAACACGCTGGCGATAGAGAGCTGAAACTTGGCATACCTGACCTTTGATCCAAGCCGAATCTTTTGACACCAACCGCATTTTTGGGTCAGGTCAGGTCACTGACCTATGACGTCATAAGTGAACCTCTGCACGGTCTTCAGATGTCGCAACTTCGCAACGCCCTCACTGCCAGAGGAGATGTCGCAGGGAAATGAAACGTGCAGGATCTAGTATCCATTATGAGTCCCACAACTTGTATATCTCGGATTTTTCCTAAAGGTCATATGAGGTCAGGTCATTTTCGTGACCTCACCATTATAAGTCAATGGGGAAAAATGAAAACTGCTATTCTGGCGCCGGGAATGATCTCCAACTATCTCAAGCACACAGAATCGTGATTTGATGCACTCCTTGCAAGGTTAGACGCGTCACTTTTGCAATGTTGACCTTGCGTGACGTCATTTATGACGTCATCAAGGTCATATTAGTTTTTCGTCAATACCTCTTGATCAAATTGAGCTAGCGAGTCGGGAAAGCCACCAATGGACTCAGGAAGGCCTGCCGAATCGAATGATATGCGACATGACCTCTTTCGACCAACTTCGTGACCTGGGGGTGCTGACCTGACCTTGACCTGAGGTCAACACCCCAAGTTGACCTGACCCGGACAAAAAGTATATCATTCGACGCGCCTGAGCGAGGCAAACACGATGCTGCCAAAATCGGCGCTCTGCGGCCGTTTTTTGCGAAGTTATTCACCAAAAACTGAACCGTACCTTGGGGCACTTGACCTGACCTCAGAGGTCACTGGTTGACCTAGGACCTTAAAATCGGGTACCAATCTCTGCGTCTCGTAACGGCGCACACGCTCGTTTTTTCCGCGACGCGCTAGCTTCACCAGGGGCGAAACGGCGAGGGGGGGTCGTACCCCCCCCTCGGCCGGCGTGTATGTAGAAAAAGAATAGGTCCGGCGAGGGCTAGACCTGTTTGAAGTTCTTTTTTATCTAGGTATACTCTGAGTGACGTCTTGATCAACGTGTTTACGATAGGTATGTAACAAACAGCTTCGTACCCGCTATTTCACTGCGAGGAGCAATGCGGTTTTATGGTGTGACTTGTAAGACGCCAATTATAGCCGCCGATGAGTTCTTAAAAAAAAAGATATTTCAAAGTAGGTACGTATGAAAGGCATTCAGGCATTCAAGGTTCATATTCGGGTACTCCGCGGCTTCATCCACACCATGAGAGGCTTTTCAGTCGCCATACCTCCCTTACACAGACTATTCAGTATTCAGCATCCATGAAGCCTTCCACAAGTAGAGGCACAACACTCGTTTTCACATCGACTGCCGGCTGACGGCTCGTGCAAACACTTGCATCTCGATCCGCGGGGAAACAATGATAACTTCAGTCTGTTCCATGTCAAGCTTGCGTCCGAAGTACCCTGCTGATAGCAGTGCGTGATCTCGGCACACACAGCTCTTACATTCAAAGACGCAAACAGACGCAAATTATTGAACGGAGGACTGAGGAGTGAACTGCCGAAGGAACTCAGACATATGGCCTTGACTCAGACCGCAAGCGTGATGTAGAACAGGCTATGTATAGCTGGGTGATAACCGACAGGACTATGTTCAGCACGCGGTAACTTGTCCGAAAAAATGGTCAGGTAAAACAAAACAACAGACTCCTAATTCAGAAGAAAAGGTCATTCGCTCTCTTGATAACAATGAAAGGTAATAATGCCGATGGATGGATTGTTGGTGGCGTGGCAGAACGACTGCTCACCAACACATTTGCCAATGCATCGATAACTCGATACCATGCCGATGGTTCAACAGCACACCGATAATTCATGCTGGCGCCGATATTTCACCAGTCATCATCAAATGGGCGCCAGAATCGACCCATGCTGACCGTTCCCCGATACCGTGTGTCCCTGACACCTCTGACAGCTCGCTGTCTGACACCGCCGGCTGAAAGGTGTCAAGGGCAGCCGCTAATCGGTCGACCCCTGACCCTCCGCCAGCCGACAGCGCTACCACGCCGGTCTGAGGCACGCCACATTACCGCAGCCTGCGGCGGAGATCACTGGCGGCTGGAAAAGGTCACACACGATCCAGACACAGTCTGCCCTGAGAAAACGGCCGACGCTGCTCCTGAGCCCCGGACCCAACAGCTGCCGACCCATTCACCTGGCAGAGCCGCTTTGGACCGAGAAAATTAGGTATTTAATTATCATGGCTGGATGAAATAGCCTCCTGTCTGGTGATCTTGAAATATCCCAGCACTGATGTACATAGTTCCCACGAGATGAGATGTGTCTGTACTAAAGAATCGATAGCCAACAGTGTTGGCATCTTGCATAAATGGATTTGCATGAAGATGAACAACTATGAACTTTCAGACAAAAAGCAAGTCACTTTGGTGAATGCTGTCGCGGAGGCGCGGAAGGAGAGACGACTGAGCGGGCCGAGACTTGTATTGCAACTGTGGTTCTAGTACTGATTGGGGTTCGCCAGTGCCTGTGCGTTATATGCAAAGTGGTTGCACAATGAAGGACCGGTCCGCCGACCTTCTGGTATATCTAGGTCGTCGGGCGGTGCCGTCACGAAGGGGAAAGTGACGGGTATTTCATTGTAACAAAGCTTGAACGTGTACTCTCTTTATCATGATATGGAAGAAGGGAATCGGTCCCACAATGCTCAAAGTAAATCGATTTAGTTCAGAGCCCCAAAATACCCGACCAGTAGATTAAACAATGAATTCTAAAGGGCCCTAATAAACTGAATTCGACACAAACACACACAAAAACGTAACAGTAACATCCATCTACGAGTCAGTGGGCAAACGCTGACCGGTGGACTAAGGGCCAACACGGGGACTGGACCACTGGGCGAGTACTGACTAGAGGTGGCAAAAGATGAAAATTTTGGGAACCAGACTCGAACCAGACCCGGCTGGACATTTCTGGAACCAGTCGGACCCGGCCTTAGCTGGAATCGGAACCAGTTGGACCCTTTCCCCAAAAGTCAATCAATACAAACTACTTGTAGGTATCATTAGTTGCATCATGTAAAACAGCTTATTTCCCACTGGGAATACTCATGAGCTAATGTGTGCAAAGAAACATTCACTTCATACATATTTTGCAATAATGTGTAGTGTGCAAGAGGTATAGTTTATGGTAGGACCCGGTTGGACCCGTCAGAAAATTTCCAGGAACCGGTCTGGACCCATATGAGTCCAGACTGGTTCTTTGGACCGGGTCCTCGGGTCCACATTTTGCCACCTCTAGTACTGACCTCTGGACCAGCGGGCGATAACTGACCTCTGGACCACTGGGCGATGACTGACCTCTGGACCACTGGGCAATGACTGACCTCTGGTTGCGGAAGCGGATGTTGATGAAGAGGAAGATGACGGCCATGACGATGCCCAGTGAGGCAGCCACCACCAGCGCCGCGTACAGCTGCACGTTGACGCGCGCCTTCTCGATGTGCCGGATGGTCTGGTCCAGCGGCTGTTTGCCAGAGAACCACCAGATGGGCTCGATCCGGTCGTCGTCCTCCGGGGTGAGCCAGCGCAGCTGGTTCAGGTCGTGCACGCCGATAAACGACGTGCGGTTGTCTGGGGAGGGGGAGGGGTGGTCAGAGACGAGCGGACACACCACAGGAAACAGTAATTTCCGGCTCCGGAAGACCCAGAAATCATCAGAATAATTTCCCGTCGGGGCTTTATCTCATGACATTTGGCGACGCACGGCGGCGGAGAGACGTTACATAGCCGGACTTGATGACCAGACAGATGCCCTCTGCCTGTCTAGTGCCCGCTAGGAGCTCGGACAGGGCTACTGCGTCACAGTGAAGTGGTCTTCAGCTATTTATGAACAGACTCATAGTGTCCTGCACATCAGAAATATTTCCAAATTAATAGACAAAAAAGGAAGTGATTAGGTTCTTCAGTGTCAGCATTCATGAGAAACATAATAGGCATGCTCCATACGACTAACTAAAAATGTGATTGATCATCGACGTAAGAAAGAACCCGGCCGGTTAAAATTTTGTTTCGCCTATCAAACCACTGTGGTCATAAGCACCAATCCAGCTATTGTTCAAATAATTGTCTTCGTTGCATATTTCAGCAGGAAATTAGACTCGGCATAGCTATTATCGCCTCAGATTACTCTATCAGCGGCAATTGACCTCTCGTTAGCATTGTTTAGCGCGGTGAGCTCCCGCACTCGGCCGCTCCACAACGAGTCATTGTGACGAGGCTAACACACGGAAGTGGCTCAATCCCGCAACTTTCCACTGGAAACGACGCTTTAAACAACGCCAATAGTCCAACTAGTTCCGGCAGTCTCGGACGGCCAGCGGCGGCAGCCCGGCGGGCCCTCGGTCCGCGGCTGCACGGTGACCCCCCACGCCGCTGTGCTGGCCCCTCAGTCTGGTGCCGCCGGCCGCGTGTCCCCCTGGCTCCGTTAGGGCCCGGTCGGCTCCGCAGCGCCCCGGGACGGCCGCCCGGCGTCTCAGCCAACTGAGCACGCCGCCCGACCGGCGTCTGCCGACCGGCCAGATTGGGCCAATTGAACGGCCGAACAGAACAAAGGGTAAATGATGAACCTCGCCAGCGCAGTGACACTGAGCTGTGGCCAGCGTGGCGACCGACTCAGAATCGCCGCGATAATAAAGGGGATGTTGCCGACTGAGGAGAATACCACAAACGACTGAGCCGTTTGCCACTCTCAACTAGGCATCTCCGAACTGGGACAAAGAGTGTTTGTGATACGATGAAGCTGTTTTATTGGTGTTCAGAAGTCAGAACAACAAAATATAACCGGTGAAGAATATTGTTTTGTGCTAAACTTAAAACAAAATGAGTGAACTTATTACATCTCCAGAATATAGAGCATACACTTACCTTTAAAAACATCAATGCATTATCAAACATAATTATGGCTTGATTCCCATCAAATCGTGATAGCAAATTATGAAAGACCCATCAAGCTTTTCTCGGCTGACTGCTACCGCTCGATTTCACGCTTAGTTTACCTTAAGAACGATGCATTACCCTGCAAAGCGCCGCAGTCGTTCCAGCATTTTACCGAATGGGCCGTTAGTGCGGCATGCCTGCTTCCAACGCCACTACAGCAACGCAAAGCGCAGCTGCGAACGGGTTCCCGAGGCCATAAAGGGAGAAAATATGGAAGCTTGTTGGCAATAATATGTCTCTTTGCCACCAAGCCAATGAGAAGGCGGAAAATAAGGCTGCACAATGCACATGAATCGCCACGTACCTCGAAACTGCTTCAAGACGACGAAACCTCTCCGCTCATTTTCTGAAAATTTCACCGAGCCCTGAAACAAAATAAAGGCAGTGAGCGCGAAAAATACAGGGTTTCATAAGTACAATGAAACGACACATTCGTTTCACTCATACAGGCACATGGGGCGGGTTAAGCTCGCCGGCCGGCCGTCGGCCGCTGCACACTGGTCGGAAACGCTCCAGCGAGAGGCCAGCGGCCTTTCCGCAAAAGTTTTTTGCTTGTTATTCCACAACTAGTGAAGCAAACTTCATAAAACTTTGCATACCTTCTCTGTCATATGTAAGCTATCATTTGGATGTCAAGCACTAAATATATGACATGAATCTGTTAAGTTATGACGTCATAATTGAGTATAATACAGGATCTAGCACCACTTTAAGTCAACAAGGGAAATTGGGAGCTGCTATTCGGGCACCGGGAATGGTTTCATGCACTCCTTGCAAGGTCCAGTGCTTGACTTTAGCATTGTTGACTTAACGTGACGTCATTTATGACGTCACTAAGGCCATGTAAGTTTTTTGTCAATAACTCCTGATCAGATGGAGCTAGAGAGTCGGGAAAGCCACCATTGGACTCAGGAAGACCTGCCGAATCGAATGATATGCGATATAACCTCCTTCAACCATTTTCGTGACCTGAGGAGCTCCGACCTGACCTTGACCCGCGGTTAACACCTTAACCCTCGCCGGCACAGGCGAGGGTTAATTATTAGGGTGGGTGTCAAGGTTGATGCAACCCCCCCCCCCTAAGGTTTTTCGCGAATAACTCGCGTAAAAAGCGGCCGATCGCGACGAAACTTTCAGTACCCTCGCATTGATCAATTATACACGTTCCCTGAAAATTTCATGACCCTGACCCCAATGACCTTTGACCTGTGACCTCTTTTCCGTGACCATGTTTGGCCGAAATCGCGATTCGGCGTATGTCGGCTCGCATTAGCCGCGCGTTTGCAAGCTTTTCGTGGTTTCAAACGTTCGAACATGTGATTTGATGTTGCTCCCATACATTAGGGTGGGTGTCAAGGTCACCTGAAGGTCAGGTCAGGTCATTGACCTTTGGTGACCTCGGGTGACCTCGGTTCACTTTTTCGAGTTTTTCATGTTTCTAGGCTAGTTTTTGGAGCGGAATTCGAATTTAGCAACCATTTGAACATTTACGAAGTAGTTTTGGTGCCTTCGTAACATGTTACGAAGCTGTCACAGGCGGTTGACACGTATTACGAATACCCGTCACAACCCCTACCGGTTGACCTGACCTGACCTGACCCGACCTGGTCTAAATGCTTAAAACATCATCTCTGATCAAAACTAACACGATATTCGTGATCAGCACCCCGGAAAACCACATAGCAGCCACACTTTACGACTTTCTTACAGGTCCCGATTTTCCCGGTTTTCGGGTCATTGACCTGACCTGGAAGGTCAACCGATGACCTAGGACCTTAAAATTGGGTATCATCGGCTTTGTCTCGTGACGGGCAACACGCTCGTTTTTTCCGCGAAGCTCTAGCTCGATCAGGGGCCAAACGCGAGGGGGAGTCGTACCAACCCCCCCCCCCCCCCTTGTGCCGTCGAAGGACGCAAAATGGCCTGTGCCGACGAGGGTTAAGTTGACTTCACCCGAACACCAAGCATAGCATTCAACGCGCCTGAGCTAGACAAACACGATTATGCCAAAATCGCGGCAGTGCGACCATTTTTGGCAAAGAAATTAACCTAAAGCCGAGCCCGTGCCTTGTGGCACTTACCTGACCTAAGAGGTCACTGGCTGACCTAAGACCTTAAAATCGGGTAGTACCTAATTTTTGCGTCTTATAACGACACACAAGCTTGTTTTTTTCGCGAGGCTCTAGCTCAATTAGAGGCGAAACGGCGAGGGAGTTGTACCAACCCTCCCCGGTCAATGTAGAAAACCAATCGGTCCGGCCAGGGTTAAATACCGGAATTGTGATCTAATGTAAAAAGACGGCCCAAGGTAACCCGACGTCAGTGACAGGTGTCCTATATTTGCAGCGTCTTATATTCACGAAGGTTTCAATTTCCACTTTCTTCAGCCGAGTGATGGTTGTCAATAGCAAGGCTCTCTAAATGCAAGCCGTAATCGCCACGCAATATGTGGAAGGCTTTTGATGTCAATACATACATAAGTGCATACATAAAACGCGCTTTTCACAAAATTCATAAACTCAAGCGCATCTGTTTTTAATGACCAGTCAACTACGCATGGATGCGTGCAGGCCACACAGGTCAGCGACAGCGTAAGCCGGGCGCGGCGGCCGAGCCGAAACTGGGACGGGGCGGGCGGTAGTTGGGTAGGAAGAGCGGCTCCTGCAAATTTTGCGCAAATATGCGCAATTAGCTTTTATGTTGCCCTGGTGTAAATTTAAATGCTACTTCATCTCACAAAAAATCAGAGTGGAACTAGATGGGACTACCTGTTGTTTCCTTACCTAAACTTTGCAGTTATATTCCAGAATCACTGTAGGAGAGCCTTCATAAAAAAAGCTATAGTACATCTTAGTAAGGGAAAAATTATGCCAACAATTTTGCACTGACCAGTCGGCAACTTCATAACGAACATTTTGATGCATAATATGTGGGATTTCAACTTGGTGTCTATCAGCAATAAGACTCTGAATATCCGGCTCAAGAAACCTCTTGCTCCGCGTCAGTTTCCGAGTTCTGGGATACTCCATCTTCGGGGGCTGATTGCAGCTATTTTTGGTCACCCGGATTAGTTTTTTTGGCCTAAGTATTATAATTTGATCAATTTCAAATCGATCTATATAAAAAATAATCCGAAACTCCGGAATCGCCCGTGGCCTCTCGTGAGGGCGTTTCCGACCAGTGTGCGCTGGGGCCGCCCAGCAACAGCGGGTTAGCCTACCTCCCGGGGGCGGCAGAGTCCGTCAGCTGACCTTGACCTGCCGCGCGGTCCCGGGCGACGGACAGACAGCGGACGCAGGGTGGGAGCATTGCAGGGAGCTCGCGGGGCTGATGGCCACCTGTTGTTGCGTTGTAATTGTTAATCTCGGTTATGAAGATATACCGAAAGATAAATGCTGGCTCGCTATAGCAAAGCCTTTGTATATACACATAGAGGCCCAGCATACACACATAGGGGAAGGTGGGGTAAGACGGACCAGCTAAGGTTTGAGGCCGCATATCTTGCTACACTGCTCTCGTAATTCATATTATTTATAGTCTTCGGAATGCTCAATCCTTCCTCTGTTGATATGTGTAAAGACTAAATTTCAAATTAAATACATCTAGGTGGTGGATGCTCTTAAAGAGGGACATGTCAAAAACTGAGACAAGAAAAAACGTGGGGTAAGACGGACCACCCGGCAGTGCCTGCTATCCGTTCATGTGTGGTTACACTTCTGCTCTGTACTCTTGTAAGAAAAAGTAACCAGAATGGTAAAATAACAAAATGAGCCTTTATTCTTTACTCATGTGTGATGGAAGTGCAGCTAAAAGCTGGGAACATGTGTGTTGATTGTCGTTTGGCATGAATGCATGCTAACTGAGCACTTGCATGCATGGCTCACATGCAACAAAGACTCCTTCCTGAAAAATTAGCTTACTTAAACTTGTGTCAATGTTTTGGAAAAAGAACTTTCCATCTGCATATGGTACAATGGACCACCACAGGGTAAGATGGACCACAGTGGTCCGTCTTGCCCCAAATCTAAATTCTGTCATTATCATGACGTATATGTCAAATAGCCCAGCATTGCAAAACCTTGCCTTTCCTAAAGTGTGACTATAATTAAGTTTATAACTTTGTTCTTCACAGTTAAGAGCAAAATCGAAACTAATCATGCAAGAAAGGCGCCGTAATTGAATCACCCGTAAACCTCTTATATTAGATCGGTTTGACGAAAAACAACATTTTTCTCAATAACTCAAAAGCTATGCATCCTAGCAGCATGAGCTCAAGGTGGCCATTGTTACGAAGGAAAGCAAACATAGTGAGTGCATAAAGCAGTAGATACCTACCAGCAGCGGTTCAGCCGGGAGGGCTGGTGGTCCGTCTTGCCCCGCTGGGCCGTCTTACCCCACCTTCCCCTACCTACTTGCCACATACCCCCAGGTTCCCTGAATAGCCGCCGGCCGTGACATATGGCACAGCCTTACACATTCACCTGTGGCTTACAGAGCCACATAAATCACTTCGTCAAATCAACAATACACGCTCGGTCATGGGGATTTCAGTAGGGTCCGCTTACAAGTCTTAATAATTTACAAGGTGTGCAGTATATAACGCCTGGGAGTGCAAATCCATCCGAAACGCCCATTTAATGAGGAGTTACTCTGCAGGCCAGAATAAAATGGTTTTGGTTAAAATCGGTTAGGTCGTGTCTAGCTCGGAATATTGTAGGTAATTGTAAATTATATGACCAGACAGTCTTTCAAAGTTCAAATGAGAGAGCCACTAATGGATTCCGCTGACCAACACAACATCCTTGATAGGCTCCATGAGTTTTGCCGTGAGTTTCGCCGGCTGAGGATCCCTGTACCCTGGCTATTGCCTATGGCGAGCAGAAGTTAGTGGGTAATTGGTGAAACTCGGGCTTTCTGCAGCTACCGACGGCTGGTGGCCTTCCGTCCGGCCTTCCAAGACTGGTTTCGGGAGTGAGTTACACCTCCGGTGATGTGGTAAGATGGGGTCAGATCAGATGTGGTCAAGTGGCTATCTCCCTGAACCATTCATATTTGTGTGCCGTCATCCAGCACTCAGACATCAAATACCAATTAGATGTCAAAGCATTCAATCTGTTATGCTCAGCACATAATCAAATAAGCACAGTGTATCGTTCGGGCGGCACGCAAATTCAGCATTAGCGATACAGTCAATACAATGTCTGCCCACCCCCCCCCCCCATCCCCCTCGGTCGGCGGCTGATTCCCCCGTGCCGGTCAGAAGGTCAGCGCCGTCCCTCGGGACTGAAACGCCGGCCCTCATTGGGCCGGCGCCGGGCTAAGTGGCCTTTATGCGGTCTGCGGTCCAACATCAAATGACGTATCGACGCCGGCAGGCACCACGCCTGACGGGGATGGATTAGCCTGGCCTGAGTCCTCGGTACGAGCAGAGATAGGAGAATGTCAAATGTTGTAAAACGATAACCTTATTTTTATTATACCTACATGGCAAATATTATGTTGATTATATAACCAGTATAACGCCTTATGGGGCGACTAACGGAGCGAGCGAGAGGGTGGGCCTTGCACGTGCGAAATTGCGAGGGGGTACCTCCAACTGACTTGTGTACGGCACCCTACTAACCGGTCTCTAGCGATTTGCCAAATTTGAGCACAATCGGCCCAGCCGTTCTCGAGATCTGGGAGCGGCATCCTGCACGTGCGCACGTGCAAAATGGGTCCCGACTGGCTTTTGCACGGCACCCTACTAACCGGTCCCTAACTGTGTACCAAATTTGAGCGCAATCGGTCCAGCCGTTCTCGAGATCTGGAAACGACCCCTGCACGTGCGCACGTGCAGCAGCACCCCAACTCTGGCACACGGATATGCAGTGCCTAGTGGGTGCCTACCTACATACCAACTTTCAGCGCAATCGGCCAAGTAGTTACCGAAATATTGCAACAATTGCAAAACTGACACCTCTTCGTTTTGCACGTGGCACGTGCATAGGGGGTCACTCACATGCATCGGGAATAGTCCAATACTTGGTAGAAGGAATGAAGCTACCCTATAAAAATTACCGCGTGTAAATCGGTCAAGTGGTTGCTGAGATATAAGCCTCGCAAAAGCGTGACCACGGCCGGCCGGCCGGCCGGCCGGCCGCTCATACTCAGAAATTTCCGTTATTCTACGTAAGACTCCGCTCGCTTCGCTCGCTCCGTAAACATATAAACAGAGGCAATAGTCTATGGTTTCCTCCTAAAGCTTATCGCTCAGACGTTGAGTCGCAGCTGGCATTACCACCATCCAAGAGCATCGCTCGGGTTTCTGCCTCTCTTTCCTCCCACTCAGTGCAGCGGCCCGATCGCAAACTTCTCTCGTTATGGCCGCTTGAGAGCGTGTTTTTATCGGCTGGCCTTCTCGACCGACAACCTGGCGGCGTAGCTCCGACGGCGCTGACGGGGAACGGTGGGGCCGCTCAGCGCTGACGGGGAGCGGTGGGGGTACACAGCGCTGACGGGGAACGATGGGGGCCGCTGAGTGCTGACGGGGAACGATGGAGGCCGCTCAGCGCTGACGGGGAGTGGTGGGGGCCGCAGAGCGCTGACGGGGAACGGTGGGGGCCGCTCAGCGCTGACGGGGAGCGGTGGGGGCCGCTCAGCGCTGACGGGGAGTGGTGGGGGCCGCTCAGCGCTGACGGGGAGTGGTGGGGGCCGCAGAGCGCTGACGGGGAACGGTGGGGGCCGCTCAGTGTTTACTGAGAATAAGCGCTGACAGAGGACAAAATGTGGCGGTCATCGCTAACAGAGGACAAGGAGAATGGCCTTCCAGTGTTCACGGGAGCCGGAGAGATCAGCAATAACGGAGGACAGCATAGCGGATGCAAGCCGCTGACAAGGGGACGGCGGGAGACGCTCAGTGACAACGGTGAAGGCTGGGGCTGCTGTCAGCATCATCAAAGCATGATAATGACATGTCACCAACCATTCTACTATACAATCGTACACTCACCGTGACACCCTCGAAGCTGATGTCGTTCAGGGCCGACTTGAGCACCGTCTCCCAGCGCTCGTCCTGGTAGCGGAAATCACTGAGGTTGGCCCAGCTCGGCAGCGGGGACTGGTTGTGACGGATGCGCCACGTCACCTGAATGAACGGCACACAGAGGACGGTGTCACCCGTCGGGCGAGGTTGGGAGTGAAGAACTGGTTAAATTTATTAGGTGTTTAATTTTTGTTCCATTGGTACTGCAAAATGCCATATGGCTATGGCAGATGGACAACTATAAATGTTGCACCAAATTAACCAAACATTCTGAATTCAATATGCATATCTTACTGTTCAAATCGGTCTTCCAATTAATCAATTATGCGCCACCAGAATAGTTTGTCCGTGAATTTCGCCTCATGCATATTCGCGTGAAGCGTTCTATCAGTCGGGGCGACTATCATGTCGATTCGATGACCAGCGAGTCGTGTGCGCCGACCCAAGTATGATTGCATATTCAGCGCCGGGGCGGCGGGCTGGAGTCGGGCAGCTCCGGGTAGTTTCAGCGGTGGCTGGAGACAGGGCTGCGGAGTCGGAGTCGGAGTCGGAGTCGGAGTCGGAGTCGGAGTCGGAGTCGGAGTCGCCGAAAATCCATCAACTCCGCAGCCCTGGCTGGAGATGTTGTGAAGCTGTATATACGGCCCTCAGAGGCAATGGCACTGCTTTGCGCACTTACTCATAGACCAAGGCTACGGCATTGGAAGGACAAAAATGATGATGTATGTAAGGCGAGCAATAAGGTCTGTATTTCATCAACAACTATCACTATTGGTGCAATAAATGATGGAATAACGCAGACTGTTAAAATAGGTTATTGAGTGATTTAAATTTTAAACTTAAATTCGTTTGTTTTGCATCTTATTCACTTTTTTTGTAAGTAAAATAGCAGCGGACCTGAAATCAAGAAATGGAGAGGAATTCGGTATTACCAGACGCTCACATTTTTTTTCGGCACCTCACACCCACGCCGGAAAGTCATCACCCACGGCACGGCGCGCACTTATGGTCCGCTGAGCAAACCGTTTGCGTTGCTGTCATTAACATTCGGCAAACTTTGGGCGTCGATCGGATCTGGCTAATAACGTTCAGCGTCTCGGAACTGACCGTTGCCATTATTTCGCCCCGGGCGCAAACAATCTTTTTCCGGTCGAGTGGACGACGGCCGACACGGTGCGGGGCCATTGATTGGTGCGCGGCTCTCCGATCTACGGGTATCGGTCGAGGGCAGAACAGGACCGACTGTAGCCGCCCGGCGCCCACCCTCCCAAAACGGTACACACTGGCAATGGTAAACCCGCCACCAAGGATGACTGAGGTATGGTGGCTCAACGGGCTCTTTGGGGACCTGAAAAGTTCACAACAGGCTGGGAAAATCCCACGTTCTAGCATTCCAATCATTTCTCAAACTTTTATCACGCTCAGAGTACTCGCAATTATTTATTCATTCCACATGTGAACAGCTTTGTTTTTAAGATCTTCAAGGAACCATTCGGTTGCTCCGCATCTAACAGCCTCTGTTGTTTCTCTTTTCTTCTTCGAATTATAGGAAGAACATATTCATAACTTTACTAGTTTATGGTAATTTTACACTTCATCAACGATTGGGACAGATAGGCTCGTGGATGATAATACTCCCAAGCAGCTTCTTCGAAGTGACGTTCCTTACGTTATGGGACTGGATGAGGTCTCATCACCGAGTTCCCATTGACGGCGGTGTATTTCTATAAAAATAGATCGTGCGGCTGCTGCCACCCGAACGGAGCTGAGACTAATGATCACAATCTCGGCCAGCATGGAAGACCCATCCCTCCCCCCCCCCCCCGACAGGTAGAAATGGGCTCCTATAGTTGAAGATCGGGCTATCCTGTCCCCATTATAGCCTGACCTATAGTTGGATATAATTGGAGGTGTATAATTGGCACCAGTCCTGGTATAAAAGCGGTGCTACCTCTGCATCAATTTAGAACACTAACTGGTTAGAGAAGCAACATGAATTTAAGGTTGTTTTGGTATCGAAATCCCGGTACAATTGTTTCACGATATGTTAGGCAGAACTTATTTGTTGGAACTTGCTTGCAGAACTTGGACGCGTAGTAAAATTAGCACAAGAAGTTATGACAATCTATCTATGTATATTTGGACGATAATGACAAAACGGTTTCATTGCTATCACCTGAGTAGAGCTGATGAGATCCACGTCTCACCTGATGCAGAGCCGGTGAGATCCACGTCTCACCTGATGCAGAGCCGGTGAGATCCACGTCTCACCTGATGCAGAGCCGGTGAGATCCACGTCTCACCTGATGCAGAGCAGAGGCGATGGCCCAGATGCCGTCGTAGGCGTACCCGTGGAACCGAGAGTAGTCCTTCCCGCGGACGTGGTCGTATTGCTTCTTGTACTCGCTGGCAGTCTGTAAGGAGGCTGCCATCAGTGGCGGCATATCAACCACGACAGAGGCGATGAATGCAGTCCATAGACAGAGCAGACATCCACACTGTGGAGTGTGGAGCTCCCTTTCTGTCAGAAAAGTGACTCACTACGGGTGTTCGACCATGAGCATGCATAAATCCATCTGGCTCTCACAGCGCAGGCAATGATGCTCAGAGATTTTTAGTAGTCATATGGCCGACGTCTCGGTCTCGATAGCTTAGACTTCTCGCACCGTGACGCTCTCGTCCAAGATGCACGACTCTCTCTCTTTTCCGGTCGGGAGTATTAGAGCGGCGATATATCAGGCGGGCAGTGTGTCACCTCCCCAGATTTAGGTGACGTCTCTGAACACACTGCATCCTCTGCCAGGGCGGGCTGGGGGGGGGGGGGGAGGCCACTGCGCCAGCCGCGGCCGCCCGCAGCTCCTCGGGGCGGCCCCGGCTGGGCCCTAGAGGCTGACCGGACAGTCCTCAAAGGCTGACCGACTGGTACTCCTGCCTAATTGGGGTCAGTCTCTTACTCTCACAGCAGTACACACATGCATACATTTACTGCAATTCGCAACAATGAGCTAGAATATTAGCGCACGTCTGTTGCTCATGCGATGTTGTGAACTATTGCGTTTCACTTCTGATAATTGTTAACTAACATGACAAGCAGCAAACATTGTGTTAGTCTCTTATCGTGTTCGGTGCTGTCTTAAAATGGTTTCTTTGGCGAATGCTTCTTTCTGGCAAACAAACAAATGTTTCACTCTTCAGTTCCTCTCGGTCTGTCAACTGGCGACTGACACCAAAAGCACTACGTTTCAAACAAACGCAAACTGTCCCGCCTGATAGCTGGAAAAGTTAGTAGCCTTTCTATCTCTGGAAGAACTTAAATGTGCTAAAGTTGAAGCGTTCCACATTTTGAACCATATATAGCACAACTTTGCAAGAAACGACAGTATATCAAGGCTCTATCAAATCGAGTCTGAAGATGCCCCGAAAGTCAGCGATATGACTGGATATGAACTGAGTGGTTTATGTGCTGATTTCAGCCTGATAAGCATAACTTATTTTTGTTGATGCAACTCATGCCTTTAAACACGGATGTAAGTCGCATGCTAGTTTCATAAGCGACGGAGCATGTTCGCCGTATAAATTGTATGCTTGCATCATAGCTAATAAAGTACCTACTTATTCTATGAATTGAGAAAAAACCTGTGTCAATAAACATTATTTTGCCCAATCTAAGCATGCATATCACCCACACCAGCCGTGCCACCTGTCGTCTGCCCGCTCTGACCTGCCCCCCTCCGTGTCACTGCCCTCCCTACCCAGATCTGCCCTCCCCGTGTCATCCACCCCGCCCTGCCCCCCCCCCCCTCCGTGTCACCCACCCCGCCCTGACCTGCCCCCTCCCGTGTCACCTACCATGCCGGAGATGACCCTGCGCCGGCTGTTGCTCAGGTGGAGCACGTCGGTAAGCACGGCGCCCTGGAGTGCGGGCACCACGTCCTCTGGCGAGCAGCGCTCGGCCGGGTCGGCCGGCTCCGGTCCGGCGAACTGGTCCCGCTCCCACCAGCGCTCACTGTACAGTCCCACCAGCAGCCACTGGTAGCGGCGGCCGAACATGCCCACTCGGCGCGCCTCACAGAATATCCGCCTCGCCCAGCTCTCGTCAAAGCTGCCCAAAACTATGCGCACATCCTTGGCCTTCAGCTTCTCCAGCTGGTCGGTCAGCTTGCCGGCGAACGTTTCCATGGCAACCACGTCCACTTGGAATGTGTCGAGCAGCTTGACCATACCGTTGTGCGCCTGCCGGAGACGGTGCGGTCAGAGGGCGGTGGAGGAGAGCGGTCAGGGTCACCCGGTCCGGGCTGCCGCGGACAGGGGTCACAGCCTGGGGGACAGCTGGGCGTCAGCTACTCGAGCCGTGCCCATGGCAGCCGGATTTGTGGTCGGTGTCAGCACGTCGATACGGCGTGTTTGCAGACCATGTTTTCATTTGATCAGGCCATCCGTCTGGGAGAACCGTGGCGCCGACAGGCGATCTATCGGATGACCGCCTCCGGGGCCGGGGTCGTGCATCACGCGCCGCTCCGGCGGGCCACGCTCGCCGCCCTATCAGGGGCAATCGAACGGCACCGCCGAACCCGACCGGGTCCCTGGATTGATTTCAGAATGGAGTTTCCCTAAATTAGCTGTCATATGGAGCGAGACATTTAGGTGCCGACATATCGCCTTTATAGTGATATTTATTCGGAGAGAAAGTATGAATAATTTCGGCAGCTCGACCAGGTCAAATTTGCCATTTTGGTAACTATGATTTTAACGATAACAGTTGTAAGAATTGTAATTCAAAGTTCAAGCAAAAATCTGCATAACAGAATAAGTAGGTATTATGAAAATCAGTGTTGATTTATGCTGAGTGAAGCTGATCTCAAACTCCTCATGAGCCTGACCTGACGCTCTCCACGCGCTGATCATCCCATCCCCATCCGCCGACCGCTGCACTGACCGGCAGCTATGTCCGCCGACCGCCGCACTGACCGGCAGCTATGTCCGCCGACCGCCGCACTGACCGGCAGTTCGTGATAATCAGAGCCGCCACCCGCCCAGCGATCCGGGGCTTAGCGTCGCCCAGGTGACGGTGCCGGATCCGAGCGCCATCAGATGAGAAAGGTGAGACTGTCGCCGGTTATTTTTGGAAAAGAAGATCCTGATAATGACAATGGTTGAAATTAGAAACAATATAATCAAGTATTTGATCTTGTGATGAGTTCTTACAGCTGTGTTTTTTTCTAATTCAGACGTGTTTATAAACATAATAATTCATTCAGCGCAAATGTCATTTAAATCTGCCAAGACACAGCATTATGTAGTCACATGTAAACCCCGAGTGCGCCTGGACTAGCGGAGACGATGTGTTTCCTGATCTCTCCAGCAGCTCCCCAAAGGCAAGGAACTCTCTGATCCTCTCTGTTCCCCCTCTCTCTCTCTCTCTCTCTCTCTCTCTCTCTCTCTCTCTCTCTCTCTCTCTCTCTCTCTCTCTCTCTCTCTCTCTCTCTCTCTCTCTCTCTCTCTCTCCCCTCGGCACTCGGCTCTGTTTACCTGCGCCGCGGCTGAGCATTGCAATTAATGCGCCCTCGGCGGGCTGACAGCTCCTCTGCCGACTCAGGAGCCGGCCCCGGTGGGCGGGCCGAGTTGCTCTGAGTGCCAGCCTGAGAGGCTGGGGCTAACGACGAAAACACGCCGATCCCCGCACGGCGCCTCCCCCCCTCCCCCCGGCCTCTGCCACTGTCGCAGTTTGCCGGATTCTGGTCGCGGTTTCCCCAGGAGGGCTGGGGCCGCCACTAAATGACCAACTTTGACCGCCGCACTGTGGGGTTTTTATCGATCCTAGCACGAATTTATTTATATCGCGTCCTCCGCTAACTTAACTAATTTTATTTCACCTTCAAATGTTTAGGCTTAGGGTGTATGATCCCTGACAACATGGTTGGCTCTCCTGTTTGACCCCATCCCTCCCCCGCCCCCGCCCCACGGACTTAGCACTGAAGCGTTTTCGGCTAGCAATGCATCGTGGGCGTGGAAGCGTTAAAAAAGTAGAACGAAACTACAATCGTTTTAGAAGTAGATATTTGTTCATGTCTAGCCCAATCACCAAAAGGCATTTCGGGCTTAACCTTTGCACTTTGTTAGTCCTTGCACTTAAAGGGGGAGGGGGTCGCACAGACTTCTGTCCTCGACTTTTCGCAACTAACTCAAGCAAAACGTGGCGGATCACGACGAAACTTTCTATACCTTCGATTCGATCAATGTTACTCACACACTTAAAATTTCATGACCTTGACCTTAATAAAAATTTGACCTGTGACCTGTTTCACCAGACCATGTCAGGCTGGTACCGATTTGGCGCTTATCAGCGCACATTATCGGCGCGTTTTCAGTCTTGTTGTGGTTGTTAACTCTCCAAGGTATGAAATGCTGTTTGTTCTTTGCATTTTAACCCTCGCATGTGTGCGGCGTTTGCCAGCTTCTAATGTGTAGGGGGGGGGGGTCGGTTGGACCCCCCCTTGCCGTTTGGCCCCTGATCGAGCTAGAGCTTCGCGGAAAAAACGAGCGTGTTGCCCGTGACGAGAGGAAGCCGATGATACCCAATTTTAAGGTCCTAGGTCATTGGTTGACCTTCCAGGTCAGGTCAATGACCCAAAGTCGGGAAAATCGGGACCTGTTAGAAAGTCGTAAAGTGTGGCTGCTAAGGGGTTTTTCGGGGTGCTGATCACGAATATCGTGTTAGTTTTGATCACAGATGATGTCTTGAAGCATTTAGATCAGGTCGGGTCAGGTCAGGTCAGGTCAACCAGTAGGCGTCGTGACGGGTATTCGTAGTACGTGTCAACCGCCTCTGACAGCTTCGTAACATGTTACGAAGTCACCAAAACTACTTCGTAAATGTTCAAATTGCTGCTAAATTCGAATTCAGCTCCAAAAACTAGCCTAGAAACATGTAAAACTCGAAAAAGTGACCCGAGGTCACCCGAGGTCACCAAAGGTCAATGACCTGACCTGACCTTCAGGTGACCTTGACACACACGGGAGTAACATCAAATCACATGTTTGAACGTTTGAAACCACGAAAAGCTTGCAAACACGCGGCTAGTGCGAGCCGACATACCCGAAATCGCGATTCCGGCCAAACATGGTTTCGGAAAAGAGGTCACAGGTCAAAGGTCATTTGGGTCAGGGTCATGAAATTTTCAGGGTAGGTGTAAAATTGATCAATGCGAGGGTACTGAAAGTTTCGTCGCGATCGGCCGCTTTTTACGCGAGTTATTTGCGAAAAACCATGGGGGGGGGGTCCATCCGACCCCCCCTACACATGCGAGGGTTAAGGTCAGGTTAAGGTCAAATCAAGGTCATTTACCTTAGATTACCTTAGTTGACTTTTTCAAGTTATACGATTTTTCTAGATGAGTGCTTGGAGCTTATTTCGAACTTAACACCCATTTGAAGATTTAAGTAGTTTTGGTGCCTAACGGAACATGCTACGAAGCCGTCAAAGGTAATCGACGCCTACCTTCTATGGATAGCCGGCAAGACACCTACTGGTCGGGCCTGACCTGACCCGGCCTAGCATGAAAACATCATCCTTGATCAAAACTAGCTTGAAATTCGTGATTAGCACCCCAAAAACCTCCAACCTCACTTTACAAAGTTACAACATTTTTCGATTTACCTATATCAAAGCTCTGTACTGAAGTTCAATAAGGTGAACATTGGCGGCGATAGCCAATAAAATGGACGCAGCGTTGCAAGGATGTTGTTGTTTTGTTCTAAAAGAACATTTGGCGATAGAAAAATAATGTCAACATGGTATCACCCCCATCCTCCCTCCTCCCAACTCCTATATTGACCGGAAACCCCCAGGCGGTGTGCTGCGGTCGGGTAACTCGCCGCGGCGCGGCCCGGCGGGGCGTAAGAAACCACGCGGCACCGTCTGCTTTGACGTCTCATAGTGACTGGTTTAGGCAAATTTCGGCAAAAAATGAGAGCTGCCCCCAATGCAGAAATTATTGGAGAACATTTTGATATACATTTCCACGCGTAACACCTCGTATCAAACTTTGTAAGGCAATAGTTTGCTTGTCAACTCTCTGAATCATGAAGCATTTTAACATTTTTAGCATTTCGGTCAAAAATTATACATTTGGATGAATTTTCGAAATTTTCGTGCATACCATCATCTTCCTTATAAGTCAAAGATAATGAAAACATGTCGCAACTATAACCTGCTGTTCAGGGAAACGAGTGAGAGGGCGTTTTATTGTAGTGTGCTTTTTCGCTGTATGCAGGTAGCACGACGCTGGTCAGGACGAAGCTACACTTTGAGATGTTTTTTGAGGCATAAGCAATCATTTTACAGACGATTTAAGGTGTGATTCGGATGCGCTGGACAATTCTACGTGGAATGAATAACAAAAAAGTGGAAATCGAAATACTTTAACTTGCCACTTAATGCGTGCTAGGATGGCATAAGTCCCCACGGTGCGCCGACCTGCTTTGTAGGCGCCCGTTGTCCGGCCACCCGCTTTTTGTAAGCGATTACGTGCTGGACGCACAAAGAGGTAGAAAAGGAAACCTGATATTGGCCAGAAGCCTCAGGCAAAGTGTATGCAGTGGCACGCCTGGGAAGCCGAGTTCGGAAACTCACAAATTATTCGTACACGTTTTAACGTCTTCTCAGCCTGAACAAATATTACCGGCGAAATAAAACTTGCCATTAGAAATGGATATTTTCATTGGTGTTATTGTTGGACGCACTTCGCAGAAAACGCAGCTTACGAGATACAGGAGATACGAGTTGTTACGAGAGCACTCAGCACTCATTTATCTTCGATACTGTTTGCAGTGTATAGGAGTTATTCAGTTTCAAGACATGTATTAGTTACATGTGAGCAAAATGATTGTCTAGCTTGACATGCGCAAGAAAGACTAATGGCTCTCGGTAGAATGTTGAACCATTGCGCCCCCGACAGCGCCTTCATATCAGCCGAGCCCATATCACCCGTTGTCATGGATTCCATTTCCCTTTGGACGGCAGGCTGGTCGGGCTCCCTCTGCAGGCTGGTCGGGCTCCCTCTGCGGGCTATCACTGTGCCTCTGTCGCCTTTCACTTGAGTCGGGAGGATTGATGAACGAACGGAGCCCACATGGGCGTCGATTTATGATCAAAGCGATCGAAGACGATGGCCCAGAATAACTCTCCGTCATTGCAAATGAAACTAAATGGAGTGTGCCAGCGCTAACCACTCTCCCTAGCAGGTGGGCTTTTAAACATATGATGGTCAGCTGGTCTTGCTGCCAGTTTTATGCATGGCAAGTATAATCAAATAGGTAAGTGAGACACTCCAAATTAAATTGGCATAAATTCTTATTTCGGAAGCTTCAGACTTCAGTTTATGATTTACGTTGCCTATCGCCGTCCAATGCCAGCGCTTTTGCTTTTTTATTTTGATATTTTAGCTAATGAAATGCTCCACCTCCCATCTTTGCCTGGAAAAGTTTTAAGCCCGGCGTGACCAGTCACAATAGATCATCATCCGGACTGGCTTGCATTCAGAACTTGGCTAAAGCCACGCGCTTAAACTCGGAAATGCCTGGGGCGCTGCGTGCCGGCCGCTAACAAAGTCCGTCGGCGCCGGCCGCGGCAGCGCTGTCCCGTCGGCAGCCGGAGCCATCGACTATTCTTGCCGCACATACGGCGGGCGCATGACACCGTAAAAGGCGCGACCGGAGGCCCAGCGGCCAATCTCCACAGTCCTACCGGCATCGGGCGAGACACTGATGAGCACTAAAAGGCGGAGAGCCGGGCTGCCGGCGACCCCGCGGCCCACGCCGCCGCGTCATGGCACTGGTTGCCTGTTATATGCAGATGATGTGAAACTGTTCCACCGAGTGGGGTCCGATGATGATGTCGCTCTACTTCAGGCTGACTTAGACAATCTTCATAACTGGTGTAAAACATGGAAGCTAAAACTCAATCCGGTTAAATGTCAGACGATCACTTTCACCCTCAGGACATCTCCCATTCAGTCGACCTACAGTGTGAATGGTCACGAGCTCACTCGTTGTCAAGAGGTACGCGATTTAGGGATCCTTTTGGACGCTAAGCTTACATTTGCGCAGCATGTTGACGCCACCATACGGAAATGTAATAAGATGTTAGGCCTAATAATGCGCAGTGTGCAGTTGCCTCGATGTCCCCGGCGGGTCAAATTCAATCGAACTGCGCTGCTTGCCGCCTACAAGGCTCACGTTCGCTCGATTGCTGAGTACGGCAGCGTTATTTGGAGCGGCGCAGCAAAAACCCACCTTGTGCGACTTGAGCGAATGCAGCATCGTTTTTTGATGTGGCTGGCATCGAATTCGGATGGAGATGGCTCCAGTCTCGATTACGTGCGCCTCTTGAACCGCTTTGGTCTGTGCTCGATTAAGTCCCGCTTTGTACAGGCCGACCTTTCTTTCCTACTCAACGTGTATCGCAGTAGGATCGACTGTCCCTACCTGTTGGCAGTCTTTGGCCTAGCAGTCCCCAACAGACGCTCTCGACAGACAGGGCTGTTCCATGTACCGTTCGGTCGTGTGAATACTGTGAAGTCAGGGTTCACTGTCCGTATCCCTGCACTTTGTAATCGCTTCTTGCAGCATACACCCACTGCTGACATGTTGGCATCATCGGGTTCCGTTTTATCGGACATCCGAGAGTTTGCTCGCTCTCAGGGGACGTACATGTAATGTGCAGAATTCATTGTAATGTGCAATGTGCATGTGCTGCGTCACCTATTTTAATCGTGACTGCCACTGTAAATGGGCTGCAAGGCCTGTAGTCGGCTATTACAAATACAAGAATACAAGAATACAAGAATACACAGTAGGTACCCCCAGCGGGTCAGAAACGGGTCTGACACGGTTTGTGTCGAGCCCGTTCAGACAAGATTCTAACATGAGGTATTAGTTGTTCAAGACAAAAAGTTGCACGCTACACTTCGACAAAATGATATCGAACAATTGCATGCTAACTTGGCCTGAAATAGGGGCAGTAATCTAGAAGTTCTTCCGTGCTACAAATATTCACAAATATTTTATTGTCTCGTTAATGTGAATAATACAGTATGCAAACGGGTTGACATTAGTCATGACTCATGTTGGAAGCTGCACCCTTTTCATTTATATCATATGACTATTTCATTGTCAACGTGACCGTAGCACACTACTCGTATGTCTGATTGTCAAGCAACAGAGTCATGTTTAGTTAAAGCGTGGCATTCGTTACCTGTTGTAAATGTCTAATGACCGCAGCACGGACGTATGAATCATTTATCGACCGCTGTAGCCTACATGCAGCGACTAATTCCATTTGTCGGCTGGTTGCAGGTCACCAAGTCGAGTACATATAAGAATACTTCTCGGTACCTTATGCAAGAAACTCCGTCCGGCTAGTTATTGCTGTTTACATAACGGTGAAACATTGTAGAACTTGCATTAACAAACTTTGCGCATTCAACTTCGTAATTAAGTTCAAAGCGTGCTCATTATTTGATTCCGTACTGATGAAGCTAAACGCTAATGCTGTGGCCAACTTTATTGTTCATTACCTGGTTCCGCTGCACCCTGTGAGGACTGTGATGGAAGGCCCCCCAGTCCCCGCTAACCCCTAGTGGTTTCGCTGCACCCTGTGACACCGAGCCGCACCGCTCATTGACCGCGTGCCCAGCGGCCTGTTTAATTGCTCCAAACGGCTGCCACGGAGTACGAAACACCGCGGGACCATTCATTAGCGCGTGGACTGTGTCCGCTAGTAACCGCCACTGGTGATCAAGGTCCTAAACGGAACTGATGCAACCAAATAATATCATTCCTTCGCCGGTCAATCCCTCTACTGATATTATTAGCATTGGTGCATACCCTTACATGTTAGACCGTGCCATCTACATGGCGTTAGAAGAGGCACTTGCTGAGTTAGAGCCCAAGCGGCCGTGAAGGAATCACACATAAACGGTAAAAAGTCAGGGAAACAATGTAATGCCAACGAAAGCTATACAGTTAGTATGTGACATGATACTTTGTGATACTATCTGTCCACGAGGACGCAACATTCGCATCTTTTTGGTAAATTGAGGGGGCGTATCAGAATTAATGACAATGTTACGTACCAGTGTGTAGCGGGGGTCATCCTGGCAGAGTGTGCCGACCCTCTTCCAGCCGTGCAGTTTGACAAACTCCACGCGAGCCACGTCCAGGTAGCGCACGTTGGGCACGATCCGGTAAAAGTTTGGAAAGTTGCGCTTGGTGAACATCGGGTGCGTGTTGGCGTAGGAGAGCTGTAAAACCACAAACAGGTGGCCGTGAGGCGAAAACAAAACGGAACGGCGCTGAAAAAGTTAAACGCACAAATGCGTCGTGTTTTGCGGAATCAAAACTGCCGAGTTCACTTCCCTGTCTGGGCTTCCCGGAAAGGGAAATATAACGACAGATGGTTGTCTTTAATCTAGGTTCAGGTAAATAAGACAAACATTCCTGAACCGAACCTTCCGAATGATTTACTCGTAATTAATTTCAGATGTAGATCAAACACAGCCGACTGCGATACACTTGGAAATCAATGGGTGATTCGCGACCCTTCCAGCCCGCTGGCGGCGGCCGCTGTTGCGTGACCGGCGCATTGTGTGCTGATGATAGCCCTCATTGGCGTCATTGGGGGAATTTACGCCGCGCCCCACCGCCGAAATTGCCGCCGGTGGACGGTGCCAAATGCCCCAATGAACCGGCCATCAGCCAAGATTTATCACGAGTCGGGACCGAGAGTGTAAAAAGATGAACCAGAGTCGCAGTGAAAGTGCTGTATGGTCGGATTGGCAGTGGATATTCATAGCTTTCTAGAGATTTTACTGCCGCAGCTGAAACTCCGAGCAAAGTGCCGCTACAGTGCACCAGAAAAAAGCACAGCGCAGCACAGAATCGGACTGCCCCGTCACCCGTACCGTCCTCCCAGCCGCGCCGTCTGCCGGAGGTGTGCGTCGATCAGGGGCTCACCTGGGCCAGATTCCAGTGTTTGGACGCCTTGGCGATCGGATCTGTGACGTGCGTGCACGCCGCCCCGAACAGCACCATCTTGTGCGACCCGTTCGACATCATGTCGAAGAACGCCTTCATCGCCACAGCTGAGCTGCACTGAAATCACAAGAGGCGGAACAACGGGTCACAATAGTGAAACGTCATATGCTAGGGAGTGAGGTCAGCCCATCAACTGAACAAGGTCAAGCTGAGCCTTCGAATGCCCTTGGAGAGAGTACTCGGTACTCCACAATCAGCACGCTGGGTGACCATCGAAAAACAAATCACAATGGCAACACACGATGCGCAGACTATTTTGTATAAATACCCTGCCAGCTCGTTTTGTAAATCGACCCGGCGCGGCGGTGGGGCGGCGGCAGCTCGTCACTGGGGAGACAGCGGCAGCAGCGGCACCGTCCGCCGGCACCGCGGCGAACAGTGCACACTTCATTTCCGCCACCTGACTGGTTTCATTTGTGTAAGTGATGATGGCAGCAAAGATGGCCGACGGCAAGGAGGGAGGGGCGAGCAGACCGGTATTACGGCCCGGCCCGGAGAGGAGTGGTGTCAGTTCACGGGGTCCACGGCAGGAGTGGAAAGAATTCTAAGCAACTTGGAACTTCCTTAATATTTATCTATGAACGTGGGACCTTTGAAAGTTTCTGAGAACTTTATGAAGTTAGTTTAGATCAGTAAGTCGCAACTAGTGGATGCCAGCTAACGTAATATTTGGTAAATGTTGAAGCAAGATCTCTTTGAACTATAATAAACCTAGTTGCCAAGTAGCAACTGCAACAGAAACCCCATTCAATTACAGTTCTTATCAAGGTATTGCTGACGGATGCACCATACAGCCTCATCCTTTTTTTTAATCACCAGCCAGCTCCACCAGAAAACTCCCAATCAGGATCTACAGCAGTATGTAGGCTGAGACTGTCCAGTTCCTTGGAGTCCATTAACGCTCGTTAAGACGGGCCGACCTGCGGACATCCGCCGCCCGCGGTGCGCTGACCGGCCGCACTGCCGACCGCTCAGCGGACATAACCGAACTCCGTGTCCGGGCCGGCTGCTGATGACCGTTAGGGGCGTGACCGGGGCGCGCAATGAGCCCCCCCCCCCCACCCCACCCCCAACCACAGCTCCCAGCGGCGCCGACAGATTCCGACCGGGAGCCAGAAGTTGAGATCCGGCTGCTGCAACTTGCAGTGGATCGTAAGCGTGAGTTATGATCGGTCAGAATGAACGATGAGCAATAACACTACCGATGCGCGGCCAGGATTCATTTCTCATTTGGCGTTGGGCCGAGTTGGACGGTTGGCGGTGTGGTGGTGCCATGAGGGGATGATGGTGTCGTAAGTCCGACAGCGTAAAACAAATTCGTGTCCGGGTTGAAGTCGTTCGTGGCGCTGTAAAGTGTCGAACGTGACGGCGGCTGGAGCGGGTTCCGGCCCATCGTTCCGGCCGCGTCGGGCCGTTTTATGCAACACGGGACAGCACGGTGCACGGCCGCAATCGAGTTCCCGAGTGGAGTGCGCCGTTTATTGCGTGTCCGGCCGGGGAGCGCACGGTCAAATCAGTGGCGTCACTCATCGGGCGACGCACCTGTCCGACGCACGGCTGCCGGGTGCCATAAAACACACATCCAATATCACTGGCCGTCAATGGGGCGCTGTCGGCTGCCGTTATCGAAATAGTCCCATGTTACTGGCCGTCGGTGGCCGCTCACATTGACGGACCCAGTGGTGCACGCTGCACCACCGCGGCGGCTCGATAAATCGAACGGCCGCCGCCCGCCATCAGCCGTTATGCCTCGGGTTTGTGGCTGGCGCTGGTAGGCTTTTACGCCCCTGGCAGGCGCTACTCCCCCCCCTCGTCGCGACCCCTCCCACACACGGCGAAAGCACCCGTCAGCGTACACAATGGCCACATAGAGACGGCGGCTTCTGGGGGCAACAGTTCCACCCTGTGGTAATAGCGCTCAGTCATATACGGCTCCGCAAAAGTAGAAGCAGCGGTAATAGCAGTGGCAGTTGTAACATTAGCCTGCAGTGGCAGCGGGGCACTGTGGCAGCAGTAGCAGGAGCGGCAGCAGCAACAGTAAACGGTTTTGCGTGTATCAGAATTGCTGAAAACGGTCTTATTCTTCTGTATCTCAGATCAGTTGTTTAAAATGTAATAAAACGTTTATCAAAAGTAACCTCCAATATATTGAAACGCAAGCCCATGGTGTCATCAAGTCCGCAGTATACCTCCCCTCCTCATCCGGCACTGGATGTCTGCGAATTCCGTCACGGCCTCTCAGCCTGGGCGGAGTGTCTCTGTACCGGGGAGAGCGCGGTCATTGGTATTCCGGCCGAGCCGATATGGCCGGCCGTGACCGGGGAAGGACGCACTGCAGCAGTGTGTGTCCCGGCTTATTCTCGACGGTCAGACGAGATTCGGTCATGGTTATCCAGAAATCGTGTGGAACTGAATAAAGGACGCACTTGAGAGGCATTGCAAACAGATTGGAGAGTGTGCCGCGAGTTCGTGACAAACCTGAGAACGAAAACAGTACAATAACAACGATGAACGGGGAAAATTGGTTCTAGGGCTTTGAACAAATCAGGCCTTACCTACATACAGCAAGGGAGTCTGGTCTCATTCTGACATTCAGCCCAGCACCGCACGACCCTCAATCAGCGAACGATAGACTCTGTTTTGGGAGCTAGTTAGTGGTAAAAGTCGTGTAATAAAATGCTTATTTTTGTTGATGTGGTCAAAGCTGGCATTTGCACACTGACCAGGCACTCATAGATGTGAACATGTTTAGTTGGATGTAACATCAGTTATCGTGCTGTCGTCACTGAGGGTCCGCTCGTACACGGCGCCCTTCTTGAAGCGTTTGCGATGAGCGGCGGCCTCCACGTCTGCCACCGTCTCGGGCATCGGTCTGCCGGCCGTCTCGGGCAGCAGCAGGGCCGCCAGGCTGGCCAGCAGCACCACGGCGCCGAACACGGCCGACGGCGCCAGCTCGTGCAGGCCGCTCACCAGGTCCACCACGAACGGCGAGACGGCGCCGCCGATCCGCGAGGCCGTCTGCTGGACGCCGAGCGCCAGGCCGCGCTGCTGCGTCGGCATGAACTCGGACACGTAGGAGAACATGTTGAACGCCGCCGAGACGCTCAGCTTTCCCACCAGACCCAGTACAAGCCACAGAGTGGCGTCCTTCTTGATGAAGACGAGGAACATCGCCATGGCCGTTGTGAACAGAAAGGTGATGAAGCAGCGACGCCGACCAAACCGGTTAAGCAGTGGGTAGATGAAACACGCAGGAATCTCCACGACTCCCGACAGCGCTACCGCTAGGTGAGGACTCGTGCTCAGCTGTGACATGTCGAAGGAGATGCCGAAGTATGAGCCGGCTATGGCAAAGCCGATGTACGTGCTCGCCAGGGTGTATCTGCGCATCCGCGGCGTCCGCACCAGGTCGAGCGCGCGCTGAAACGCAGAGTCTCGGCTGTCCCCCTTCAGGGCCTCCTCGCGAGCGATCAAAGTCTGGCGCACATCGGACATCATCTTGAGCACCTCGTCGTCCGACGGCATTGTTCTGCGGTTCCAGCGGGCGCCCTGACGCAGAACCTCCAGCGCCTCAGCGAACCGACCCTGGACGAGCAGCCAGCGCGGCGACTCGGGCATCAGCCAGAAGTTGGGCAGGAACAGCAGGCATGGGACGGCGAACGCCAGCTGCAGCAGCCAGCGCGTGCGGATGCCGTACGACGCGGCCGCCACCAGCATGGTTCCGAACGAGAACGGTAGGAAGGTGACGGTCGTCAGTGCCGCCCGGTGCTTGCAGCCGCTCAGCTCTGTCACCAGCACGAACTGGCTCGCGATCATGGAAGCCATGCAGAAGCCCGTGACGCCACGGATCACGACGAAGCTGACATAGTCGTCCACCAGCGCCGCGGAGAAGGAGCAGGCGATCACGAGCAACATCACTGGCAGGAAGACGGGTCGGCGTCCGAACCTGTCCGTCAGCTGCCCGCCGAGCAGCGAGCCGACGATCCCTCCCAGCATCAGCACAGACTGCAGCATCGACAGCATCGGCTTGCGGCCGCACACCAGGTTCCACTCGGTCACCACGGTCGACTCGTACATGGACGTGTCGAACACCCAGCGCGAGCAGGCCACCCCGGAGGCGTTGGTCTGGTGACACTGAGGAGTACCCTCCGGCAGAGACTCGAACGTGGCGTTGGTGTCGAGCCCGTCAGCGCACTTGAACGCCGGCGTGGCGCCGATGAACATCATCGACATGGAGAAAGACGGGAAGATGAGCCACATGACGGACATGTAGCTGATCAGCATCACCTGCCAGCGCCCGGTGCCGCAGCACCGCTCCAGCACGTCTTCAAACACCACAGCGGCCTGTCCTCTGCTAGCTTCGTCAGTTACCGGCTGTAACATCTCTTTGTCGGTTCCTGTCATCTTCAGAGAAGCCGCTTCTTTTTTCCGGCAGTTTGTTCCTCGCGTTTCTGTGTGCTCTCTCGGCGGACGAGTGGCCCTTTGGCGGAGTTGTCCGACGACCTGTGACCGTCTCGGCGCTGAACGCTCGGGCGACTGCGGATGGGCCCACGCGCTGACTGTCTCAGCTGCATACCTACCGCTTATAATGATCTCCTGTCACTCAAGACTGTTTGGCCGACACGGCAGGAGGCAAACACAGTCCAGAACTGGTAATCGACCAAGACATTATGCTTAGGCGTTTAACCCTATTCCTGGCGGGCTCCGCCGGGACAAGAAACTGGCGGGGGGGCCGATTCGGCCCCCCCCCCCTGAGATCTCGAGAACGAAGCAAGATAGCGACAAGCGGTAAACGGCATCGGATACGCATGGACAAGGTCTACAATTTTTACAAAGGTCATTTTCAGGTCAGGTCAAAGATGACGTCACAGGGGTCGAAAAAGTCAAAATGGCGGCGCTAGATATGGAGAGAGTTTTTTCTCGAATAACTTTCGAATTAGTCAAGATAGGAACAAACTAAGGGCATCATCGTGATCCTCTCGTCAATCCGCATCGAATGATATGTATGTTGACCTCGAAAGGTCAAGGTCAAAGGTTGACCTCAGGTCACGTGACCTCGAGGTCATCATGTATATCATTCGATGCGTCTTGAGGAGCTGAACACAATGAGACCATCCACGCGTCTGTATCTTGTTCCTGTACGGAGTTATTGGCCAAAAACCTTTAGTGACCTTTGATGACGTCACATGACCTCACAGCTGCCCAACAGCAAAACAGACCTCAAGGTAGTGAAGGTTGATCGTATATGAAGTCATGTATGGTATATGGGGCCATTCCGACCCGTTTTAGTGGTAAAAACAGGGAGTTGATTTTTCCCCCATTGACTTATAATGGGGAGGTCGCGAAATTGACCTGACCTTAGGTCACTGATATCAAAATTCCGAGATATACAAATTGCACATACTGGTACCCTAACTAAAGCCTGAAGAGAAGAAATTGATCGGTCAAAAACTCTAGCTCTGGCGTGATTGCAAACTTTTCTGAGGTAGGGTCACCAAACCGCCTCTGGTGACCTGACCTGAGGTCAGATCAACTCAAAATTTTCAGACGTGTTGCGTAGAAGCCTTATAGGAAAAGTCAGAAAATTTGAGCTTCCTAGCTCAACGCGTTTGGGAGAAATAACCAAAAAACCTCAGGGGGGGCTCCTGAGGCCCCCCCCCCCGCCAGGAATAGGGTTAAAACACAGTTAACTCTGCAGTGTGTTTGTTTTAAGAAGATCCGGCACTAAAACGTCCTAGGCTGCTAGTTTATCAATGCTGTGGTAAGTTCCAATGGCTAGCGAACATTCACAGCGCAACGAACATTAGGTGCAAATATGAGCGACGAATAAATATGTGCTAAAAAACAAGTTTCAGACTCATTAGGTGTGATAAAACTCAGCAGCCTCGGAACGGGTTTTCGCAATTGTTTGCAAATATTTGCAGATCTTATTTTCGTTCATTCACCTCTAATCTATCCCATTCCCAAATACGTACCGATCACCGTAAATTGCATGATACCCTTTCGTTATACAAAATTCAAAGACATCCCAAAAACATTTTCGGAAAAGACTGAATATAAAGCAAAACAAATATCAAATCTGCCTTAGTTAAAAGCCCAGTAAATAACTGAAGGCTTATTACCAATAACTAGTAACACCGTTCGTTAAAATTTGTCTTCAACTGAAACAGATTAAAGGGACCCTCCCACCTTCAAAAAAGTTAATGAATTGGCATAAAAGTGATGTAGCGTGAATCACAAAGAGCGAAAATGAACATCTACCAAATTTTACCGGAAAATATTCACCCGTTTTCGAGATATAAGACTTTTATTTTTGTTTACTTTTTGGGAACTCCGCTGTTTCTATGACGTCACATAAAGGTTTTCTTTACGTCGGCATTTGGAAGCAATAATTTGGTATCAAAGTGCGACAAATATTGCGCGAATGATGCGTTTATCTTATCAAGGTCAATATATGATGGCCAATGAAGGATTCCAGGACAATTCTTATGGCATTTCTTCGTATCGCAATTCTTCGTCTGCAAATCTTCGTCAGGGCATTTATTCGTATCGCATTACTTTGTCTCGCATCAGGGTATATGAAAATCGGCTCGCATTTCTTCTTCAACGCAAATATATGCAAGAGTAAGCATTGAGGGACAAATAAATGCACCGACGAAGATTTGTAGACGAAGAAATGCGGACGAAAAATTGTGCTACGAAGAAATGTCATGCGAGGATTTGTTCGGGTACCATGACATTTATGTGATTTCAAAGTCAAGGTTCACAGCTGATTTGCTAAATCAAGCCAAGAATCCAAACTATCAAAAAACTATAAATATTTGTTTGTCTGTCACAGAGGTCTCAAGCAATATAAGGTTTACATATATTGAATCAAAAATCTACTGCCACAACTCACATCTCCTGCCTTAGTTTATCATTGTTGTTTTAACTTGCTTTCAAGAGAAACGGAAGCCAGTATCTGATATCACTTCAGATGATTGTTTCAAGATCTGAGTTCAAATGGAAATAAAAGCAAGATCAAGATGAAACAGGGATTATTGCTGTTAAAGTAGTTTGGCCATGATACAACAAGCACATAAATCATTAGCCAAATCAAATACTGGTTGGTTTGTCAAGATGTTTGTTGTCTGTCGTCTGTCGAGCTGCTATGAACACTGAACGCTCTCACTCTTACTTTGAAGAGAGTAGTTTAAGTTGAATGGTAGTGAGCTGTAATTAGACAAAGCAGCTATTCAGTGCTCACATCAAGCCAGGCTAGGAAATGGCATCAACTGTGGTGGGAGGAAGCAGGTTCGGCAGCCCTATATGTTGTAAACTTCTGTTGTGTCTTGTGTTTGATCAACTGATGTTTTCTGCTGTTTTGTGCAGTGATAGTAGCAGGTAACTGCATGCTTGTCAAATTATGTGAATAAACGAATTCATAACATTGCATTTTTCTCTCCATGCAAGGAACAAGTAAGATGTTGTAGAAAATGTAATAGAGGGCTGCATTGCTGATTTTGCACTTTATCAGAGCTTTATTTAGAATTGCTTTCCTGAAAGCTACACACAGGCCACAGTACTGAAATTCACAATGTCATAGCTTTAGGCAGAAAAAAAAGAAAAGACTTACCTAGGTAAAATTGGCTGAAAGTATGGCAGAGCAGGTCTTCATGCGTATGCCCATCCGTGTGCTTGCCGAAGCCGAACTGACTGCAACACATTAACTCTGACCCACCATGGTGGCTGGCATATCCTGAACTTTCACCACTCTAAACAAGACAACTTTCAGCCCTCAGCATTGTATTAAAACACTGTACATGACACTCAAAATTTGTTTCAGTGCCATCCACGGACAACATCAGTCGCCATTCACCAGGCCAGTAAAAACAGAATAGATAATAGCTTCAAACCCATGTAGTCAGAGTTACTAGGTCTGCACCTCAAAACAAAATCCAGGTGACATTCACCACGCCAGTAAAAAACAGGTACCTAGGTAACGTAACAGCTTCAAATCTGGTAACATGTTGGTCGGACTTAACACTACCATATTTACATGGAATAATATGATACCAAACAATAGTGCAACCATTCTGGATAACAAAAGTGTATGATAAAATTAATTTAGAAAACTTTGGCAGCATGATTTACGAGCACAGGCAGGTGTTACCTACCAGCCTTCTCAATGCTCGTAAAACCAACATTGTGGTTTTGATTTTACCTTACATGATAACACACTTGGCTGCAATGGCACATTTAATTTAATACTGTGAAAAGACCAGTTATAACCACTTCACAAGCACAATTGCACCTCATGCCGACATCCTTTACCAAAGACAGTCAGCAGCGTCTTTCGTCAAAACTGGATGATCAATCCCCTTCAACTATTAACATCAAAAATATTTCTTCATGGTGTGATCTCCATATGGAAACCTTGCAGGAAAAGAATTAATGTCAATTGTCAGCTCTTCAAAATTTCTTTGGACTTTAACTTGGAGTACCATATCCAGTTTGCTTTGATATTTTGTTTTTTATTCCATGTTGAAGTTGAACACCAAGCTCCAGATATAGCAGGCAGCTTGATCATCTTCGGCCTTGGTATAATATCAGTCCAAGTTCCAGTGGTGGGTATCTTCTAATATTCAAATTAAAATGAAAAGCAATAGGCTTTCTCAGCGCCGACGACGGATTTCACGTTGATAACAAAGGGAGCTCAAGGTCAGCAAAACTCGGGTTCAAGGAATGGCGGGCGTTGAAATGACTGCTGACGTCATCAAGAAACCGCTAATGGTTAAGAGATAGGGACTAAGCTGGTCCCACCCTGCAAGTAAAGGGAAGAAATTTCTTGAACACCATAAAGCTGCGGGGGTTGCGACCAGGATAAATGGTGGTTTCTGAGCCTGGTCGCAAACTTGGCTATCTCAACTCAAAACTAATGTTAAGGTGGGATGGTCCCTTTAATAACAACTAAACACTATGATGAGCGCTACTACTCCGTTGGTGTTTAGATGTCGCAATGCCGTGACGCGGGGTCATCAGTAGGCCGCCGCTCTCGGAGAGCGGCATTATTTTCTCTCCGCCGGGACTCCCGTCGAGCTGGGGATGGGAGGGGGAGGGGTGATGGGCGCGACAGAGCGTCCCACCGGCGCGCGGCGCCGTCCCCGATCATCATCGCCGCATCTGCGCCCGGCTCGCTTTTGTGTCGCGAAATGGACTGGCCGAGAGCTCCGGCAAAAAGGCAACGCCCCAGAGGGAGGCCATTAAAGCTGGGAATTGAACGATTGTAGCCGACCCGTAGCTCGAACAGAATTTGATCGTGCGATCTGCTGTGGTCTCCGATGGTAGTCCAGATAGCGGGAAATCATTGAATAACGCAGCTGTACGTATCATAGGCGGATGAAATATCGCGGATGTATGATGCTGGCGTCCCCTTAGCACGCTTAAAATACACTAACATTTAGTAGGAAGTGGGTAAATTGTGGTGAATATATCTGCTAAGTCTTAGAAATAAGCAACGTAAGTGATATTAAAGCATCAACCTTGCAGGATTTT